ATTTTCCAGCCTTGTATATATCCAATGTATGAATTTCGAAATACACCATATATATACCAAGTTACATCAGGCATGTTTTCCAAAGGGAATTGATAAAGGTCGTCCTTAAAATTACTATTGATCGTCCTAAAAAATAACAAAGTTACACTTTTAATCTTTTGACATTTTTAGCAAACAAACATCACTTTAAGTAAAAAAAATGAAAAACACTCCATTTCCCACACTCTCGAATTCATCGTTGACATTCTTGAGTCGTAATCATTGAGAATACGTCTGAATCATGAGTAGCGACTCCGACGAGGTAAAAATCTGTTTTTTTTTTTTCAAAAAAAATTCCAAAACCCCTCAACCGAAGCCAATTTTCGGTTGTACCATGGCTCAACCTAAGGCAATTTTCGGTTGTACCATGGACCAACCGAAAATCATCTTCGGTTGTACCATGGCTCAACCTAAGGCAATTTTCGGTTGTACCATGGACCAACCGAAAATCACCTTCGATTGCACCATGGTACAACCGAAAAATTGCCTTAGGTTGAGCCATGGTACAACCAAAAATTGGCTTCGGTTGAGGGGTTTTGGTTTTTTTTTTGGATTTGTTTGGTTTATATCAATAATTTTCTATTCTTTTACTGCGATTTATGGTTCGGTCCATAAGATAATTTGTTGGATTTTGGTTTATATATTTTTTTAGATTTATGGAAGGGAGGGGTTGTTTGTTTTGTGTTTGATTTTGAAATTCAAAATGGGCAATTTGGTAAATTACATATTAAGTTAGGACAATGATTAATAATTTTTAGGACGACATTTAACCATTCAGTTTTCCAAACTATATCCTAAGAGCTTCGAAGCATTAATTGTAGCCACGCTTTTGTATCGGCTGGCGTGTTCAATATGCCTACCAACCACTTCTCCCCCATCGTCATCATATTATTACTTATGCTATTGCTATGCATGCTCTCTTTGCAATTCTGGTTTCCAATATGATTGCTCGCCACAGAATCTTGGACCAACCAAACCAAATCCGCCAACTCTTTCACTTACTGATAGAGGTGGCAATTTCAATCCAATCCATCAATCCATTAAAAATATCCACCTAATCCAATCCATTTAAATCCAATCCATTTGATCCAAATCCAATTGGATTGGTGGATTCATGGATTGGATCCATGGATCATTGGCAAATTACGGTTTAGTACCTATAATTTTTATTTTTTACATTTTGGTACCTAAAATTTATTTTTTTATACGAAAAATATCATTGGAAATTTACGTTTTGGTACCTAAAATTTTTCATTGTGACATTTTAGTACCTAAACTTTTTATATTTTACATATTGGTCCTTGGTTGAGGATGTCATTTGGATTCATGGATAATCCACCAATCCACTTGATCCAATCCATGAATCCACCAATCCATTAGATCCAATCTATTTGATCCATGGATCCACCAATCCAATCCACCAATCCACCAATCCAATCCATTTGCCACCTCTACTTACTGATCAACCATATATGTCAGTGTTGCTACGACATAATTGTCATATGTGTAGTGTATGTAGTATGATACAATTGTTAGAGTGCGGTATAAGATCCATCATAACTTTCTGCCAACAACCCGAGTTACTGGGATCAACTGGTTTATGACATGGTATCAGAGTTGTCAAATTTCAAGCCCCGTGAGTTGGCTTTCGTTTGAGGGGACGTGTTAAAGTGTTGGTATAAGATCCAACATAACATTCCCCCAACAACTCGAATTATTGATACCAACTGGTTTATGACAACAATGGTACCATTTGATATTGGAGAGAGGTTAAGAAATAAAAACATGGTATGGATGGTAATATTTCATGTGTGCATTCATAACATTTTTTTTCATATATAGATTCGATAGGGTTCGGAACTGAAACCCTGATTTCCATGATGGACATATGGGTAGGGCTAGGAAAATAGACCAGACCGTTAGAAAAACCGTGGTCCAAACCGTACCGCACAGTTTGGTCTGGACCGTAGACCGTTAAGTATGGTCTGGTCTGGTCCATGGTTTGTATTATTTTATGTTTTGATTTCTTGGTCTAGTCTGGTCTAGACCGCGGTTTACCGGACCAAACCGTGGACCCAACCGACTTGTCAATACGTGTTAACAGCCCATTTGACCACTCTCCCAACTCCCACAACGATACCCAAGTCTCAACCTTAGTTTTGTGAATCTCGTCCCTCCTTCATTTACAACTATATTTAACCAGAGAGTAGAGATAATCGTGTCTCAATATGACATTATGTTAATGTTTATGACGTTATGGTGCAAGTTGGGATGCTTTTACTTTGTATCTTTGTTATGTACTAAGATTTAGGGTATCAAAATTATGCATGCATGTTAGGATTAATGTTTTAAGGCAAATAACAATTATTTTTCTTAGTTATTGGTTCAATTTTTGTGTGGTTGACTAAACAAATTATTCATTTTTTGTTCAGTGTGGTCTATCTGGACCAGACCGAACCAGATCGCACAGGCGTGGTCTGGACCGGACCGTATAGTCTGTGGTCTGGTCTGTGGTCTATACTTCAGCCTCTCGGTCTGGACCATAGACCGTATATATGGTCTGGTCCGGACCAGACCGCACCGTTTCCCAGCCCTACATATGGGGATGGACATTTTCTTTAAGACTTTAAAGTACAGCGGAGAGAACCTATATAAAAAAAAAAGTATATGATGGAGTTTGTATGACTACTTCTAGTTTTTGGATTTCATGTCTCAATATGAGCGACTTCATTTGCTCCGGCGAGAGGTACAATACCATCATCATCTTCAACCTGAAAGTTCAACAACTCGCTCCAGATATCCTTACTAACATTTAAAATCTCTAAACATTTAATTCCTTGAGTTTTCAAATGATTCACTAGGGATCGTTTGGATGAGAAATTGTAACGGATCAATTTGACACAAATGTCTCGTTTTGAGACAATTGTACCAAATTGCCTCGTTTGCCAACAAAAAATTTGGATGGATCAATCTGCCTGAGGTATTTTGAATTGATCCGTTTTGAGTCAATTTCAATTACCTGGGGTGGGGGCAGATAATTCGAATTGACTCGTTTATAAAACGAGACAATTGATCAAATTGACTCATTTCTAGATTGATCCATCCAAACGACCCCCTCTTGACAATCGATTTGTCCCAACGACGACGAAAAGATATCCTTACAAATCCTTCCCGTCTTTAATGAAGTAAACCTCAAACTAACATATAAATAGTCACATACTCACATTCCACTTATCTTCTAAAATTGTACAGAAGATCAAATACGAACCAAGAAGAATACAGATCCCAAAGTAAACCATGGTAAGTTTGCTTTCAGACATTTCTGAATGATAATTCCCTGTATGCCCTAAACTATTTCATCTTGAGTTCTAGCTCTTGCATTAACCAAAAAGACGTTTGTGCCATTAACAAAGTCTAATCAATGAATTTGGTATATTAATGGTTTCCTTTACTTACTATTACAAGTAAGTATGTATGAGTAAATGTGTTATCTTAATTGGTGCTTTTCTGGATAAAGCTGGAGAGGATCACACTGGATTCCATCTATCTTCCTCATGGGCCATTTTTGGAGGTTGGGATTGCAATCCCATCTATTAAATGCTCTCTGTAGTACTCTCCCAATTTTAAAATGAAGGAATCAACTCAACTACTTCCTGAACAAATTATTCATGACCCAAACAAAACTACAAAAGCCCACAGAAAATAAAAGACTGATTTAGCACAAGATCAGTAGAAAGTCTACCGGGCCCATAACAGGCTTGGGGTCCAAGCCCTTCTATTTTGCAAATTGAGGGCCCAACTCCTAGCCCGTACAATTTCTTCTTCCAAACATTTTCCCCAAACTGGAGAGAAAGTTCCACAAGTTTGAGGGAAAGATATCAAATTTAAAGAATTATTAAAACAAAAACATATTTAACTTTCGCCACATACTTTATAAGTTTATTTTAACGTTCGAACTAACTTGAGTATCGGAGTGTGGATTATGATATTCGGATTGTGCTACCTCTAGAGCACACAAAAACCCACTTATATCTTCTAATCAAAATATTATAATGTTGTACTAATATTTCACGTCTTAATTAATCCAATATAGCATAGTAAGTAGGGATGGCAATTATAATTTCGACCTAACCTGTTTTACTCGACCTGTTTGGTTTGTTTTGGGGTGAGCTGACCCGTCCCGTAGGCGGGGCGGGCATGGGTACTCTCATTGACCCGACCTGTCCTGACTCGTCCCATTCTCGACCCGTTCTTGCCTAAATTACATGTAATCTTAGTCAAATTACTTAGGATTTTCATTTTATTACATCATATTTTAGCTATAATAAAGTTGTAAATTAGTGAAAGCCTCAATTTCTCCAATAATTTAACTACATTTATTATAATATTGTTTGTTTTCTTGGTCTTATAATAAAAATAACGAATATTTCTAACATTTTTCATGTAAATTGCATACCCATTGGGTCGACCTGCCCCGACCCGTGACCCGTGATAAATTATCCGACCTGGACCCAACCTGCCACGGGACGGGTCCGGGTACCAAGAAACCCGCCCCGCACCTACCCATTGCCATTCCTAATAGTAAGTCAATTGTGTTTTGCCTAACAGATTGGAAATAAATGACTTTGGCAAGTTCACCAATTATTAAATGATAATGTACTTCCTCTACTATATATAATACACTAATTTTATCACCCTAAGAAGTTACATTATTGAAACTCTAGTTAGTAGCACATAACTTAATACGAATCAAAATATGATAGATTGAGATTTGAGAAAGAAAACAACGAACTTCAATAAATAAATAAAATACAAACTAAATTCTTACAAGAACGTGAAACAAATTTGATAGATAGATGGGAAGAAGAAGAAGAACTCACAAATCGCACAAAAAAAAATTACATAAATTAGTTCACCAAAAAAAAAAAATATATATTATTGCAGTTTCATTCATCATCATTCTAGTGCCGGACGACGGTCTTACAACTGGAGTCCACCTTCTGACCGGCGATACGAACCGAAATCTCGCACGTGCAGTTGCTCGTAACCTCCACCTTCAGCACCTTAAACACCGACGCCCTGCCGTGCAACGACGACGTCGAAGTGAAATTCAGAACCCCCTTCACCAAATCCCCGTAAAATTCCAGATCCTTGAGCAACCCACCGGCCATGAGGGTGACGTTGGACCGGATCGTCTGGGTCGACCGGGCCTTCTGGTAACCGGCCGGGATCGGCGAGACCCCGACCAGGCCGCCGCGGTAGACGAGGTAGGCGCTGCTGTCGTCGTAGCGGAAGCTGCCGTAGTTCGGGTTCTCGACCTCGACGACGAGGCCGAGGGTGAGGTTGAGGAAAGGTTTAGGGAAGATGGAGGAGTGGATGCGGTCGAGGGTGACGGATTTGGTGGTGATTTTGGGCTGTTTGGGCTTGAGGGCGACGAGGAAGAGGACGAGGAAGGTGACGAGGAGGACGACGAGGAGGATGCCGGCGACGATGAGGCAGAGCTTCAGGCCGCGGCGGCCGCCGCAAGAAGACATTGTGAGCGGCGGAATGGTGTGGAAGTTGTGAGTTAAGAGTGATGACGATTTGTGGGGGTTTGTGTGTTTATGTAGTTGGAATGTTTGAGGGAAGAGGATGGAGGAATGGATCGGCGGGAAGATGCTATATTATTACATTTATATCTTAGCTAGCTATTAGGTTAAAATTCTGAATACTCAAACCATGAGAAGGGGAGAGAGAAATGTTCTGACGACTAAATATGAGATGATTTAGTAATTTCAGTGACCAAATGTGACATTTATCTTATTTGGATATGAAATAATCCCAAAATCAGTTCACGGGTGTAGGTTAGGAGTACCCTTTAAGTACCTGTTTTGTAAGAGAATATTTAGCACGTATTTTTTTTTAAATGATGCTTTATAACATTCACGCGCGTTACTGTACTCAGTACTGTATCAATGATTCACTTTTGTTCAGTCATAATAAAAAGATATTAATGATAAAGTCAATTTGTTAGAAAACACATAATTAGTACTCACATGTAATCGTACTTTCAGTAGGAGGAGTATTATTGCGTTCACCTTCATATTTTGCATTCTCTAGTTTTTTTTTTTTTAAGGATATGCATCATTCGGAGGCAAAAAAAGGCAATTCTTCAACATGTGTAACATGTGATGAAAAGTTCCTAGTTAGTAATTTCATGAATCTCTCATTCATCCAAAAATATGTATAAGTATATGGATGATTTTATTGTACACCAGATAAAATTTGGTGTAAATCGTACACCAGGCAATTTTTATTGTCCGCGTTCATCTCAACGGTCACAATAAATGTGGGTTTTTTTTTGTGAGATTAAAAAATAAATTATTACATCTATGCCGACCGTTAAGATGAACGCGAATGGTGGAGATTGTCTGGTGTACGATAAAAGTCATATTGTATGAACTTGTATGCCCAAAATTATAGTGTACAATGATGTTGTTGGTTGTTAAAACAACATAGGCGTTTAAGTAGGAAAAGTGGCATTGATTTGCTTTTGTTGCTGTATTTTATTCCAAATAATTCTTTGGTTATGGGCTGTGAACGAAGTGAAGAAAAGGCGGATATGTTTTTGAGAGGGATCGGAGTTAATGCTTTTAATTGGAAGGATGTGTGTTCAATTATGACTTATTATGGGGGTTTATGGTGTGTTATTTTAGTGTGGTGTGGAATCTTTTGGAGAAAACAAGGAGCCAGCGCCAAGTTCTGAGGAGTGATCAGGATGTTCATCTTTGGTTTTGTGGATCAAAGACAAAAACGAGGACGATTAAGAACAAAGATTAATTTGTTCATGGAAACTTCCGGATTGTTATTGGTATGGTAAATTGTGAGAGGTTGGTGACTAGTCATGTAATATTGGAATAAGTTGTTTGCTTTGGACGAATTTTATAGTGAGACCTTCCTAATTAAAAGAGTTATAGATATCATGATCGCAAGTATTCTCAAATTACAGGATGGACCAATATCATGATATATGTTTCGAAAAGAATCAGGAAAAAACAATGAGATATTGTGCGTATTGCGAAAATCAGAAGGCATATTATCTAGTTGGCAAACAAAACGCGAAAACTTGGTTCCCACTGAAATCCCTCTAACACCTTCTAAAAGGCAAAAAAAACGAGCGCCATTATCTATGAAACCAATCTTTCAAAAAATTTGACCGAAAGGTTTGTAATCCATGATACCTATGTCTCCCCATAAACGAAAAAGATGTGCGACATGATAAACAAGCGGACTAGCCTCATGCCGTCACCTCACGTCTCCCTATCTCGTTCGTAAGAATGACATTTGAACTCAGACTCGAAGGTAACATAGACCTATACATTTGAGTAAAACCTAATGTTTATGAGTTTTGGATCAAGTACGCGTTTTACCCATTTTAGAACGACGGATTGATTTTGGTGCGAGTAGTGATGGCAATTTGAATCCGTCACGTGGGTATTACCCGACCCGCAGTAGCGTGGGGCGGAGTATGGATATCTACTTTCGACCCGCCCTGCCCCAGCTCGCCCCATTCTCGATCCATTTTATCTCAATTTCTTAAAATATCTATAAATATTTCTCTTATTTTGATTTTTCTTCAACTAGTTAGAGTCAATCTTTCAACTTTTTTTAGACTCAATTACCCATTCTATTATCATTATTTTTCATTCATATAGTGTTTTTCCTTTTGTTTTATCGTAAAAAGTAAAATTTGCGTGTATTTTTTTTCAGATAACATGTAAGAGTGGGTCGACCCGCCCCGTATCCCCGCGGGTTTTACCGCCCCGTATCCTCGCGGGTTTTACCGCCCCGACCCACAGTAGCGTGAGGCGGGACATGGGTATTAAGGTACCTGCCCCGCCCCGCCCCCGCCTCACCCCATTGCCATCACTAGGTGCGAGTTATGCCAAAACTCAACCCATTTTCTACTCCATGTGCACCAACAAAGCAAAACGTTGTTTTAATTTTTATCTAAGATAATGATATATAATTAATATTTGTTATTATATTAATGTTATGGAGTATAGTCTTAATTATAGTAGAGATCAAATTGGTAACAACTTTATTGCATTTACTAGAAACCAGGTCGAAAAACTCTACTGAACTCTACTATACACATATTTCTTAAAAAATTTCAAGTTCTGTGTCATATGCCATAAATATTTCGCAGAGTTCTTGAAAATGGCATTTGATTATTAGTATTAATGATATGGAGTATAGTCTTAATTATAGTAGAGATTAAATTGGTAACAACTTTATTGCATTTACAAGAAACCAGGTCGAAAAACCCTACTGAACTCTACTACACATATTTCTTAAAAAAATTCAAGTTCTGTGTCATATGCCATAAATATTTTGCAGAGTTCTTGAAAATGGCCTTTGATTATCCTAATCAACATTAAACCAATATAATCAACTTAATAATTTTCTTAAGTTGTATACTTCATAGATCAATGCGACAAAAATTTTAGCCTCCGTTTTGATCAAGAGAGTACTCCAAGTATTCAGTTGCAAAACTAAGCAAAAGCCGAAACATTAGTGAAAGTATCAATTGATGGCGTTGCAACTGGGATGTCTTCAATATTTTTAATTGAAGAGCTACTTGGTGGGTTATTTATTTTCTTTGGCAATAATGTGTTTTTCTTAATCATCAGTTCATTTGGTTGATCGTTTAGGTTAACTTTTGGTTTGATTAAAGAGACATAGCTATACTTTTTGTTGTTTTTGTGGTGATATATACTCCTTTTCAGTATCATCATTTTCCCAATTTGAAATATTTTTGTGGTTATTTCCAGTAACCAAAGACTATTCTGATTAGTATTGATATAGAAAATAGCTTCAATCACACCACTTTTACACACATTTCAGATGTTAGAGGTGAGATCATTGCCGAATTGAACTATTCAAACTATAATCCTGATCTTCAATATATAAATATGGTTCCTTTTGAGTTTTGACTGAAATAACATCATGATTGCATATCAGTTTTTATAATTCGAAGTTCCGTGATAGTGGTCACTTGCCTCCAGATTTAAAAATGGAGATCTATTTACTACAATATAAAAATCACAAGTGATAGCCATAATTGGAGCATATACAAGGTGGCTTGATATTCTTCCTCTGCAAGGGATAAATACATGGTGAGCATGTGTTGTCATGGCTAATGAGATGGAGAAACCGAACTCTCTATGTTTGTAGTATAGCCTCTGAAATATACACATGTCTAGACTTGATCGATTTGACATCTCAACCTAAAATTTATTGACGTCTTACCCTGATTACGGGATTTGTGCTCATCAAAACTACAGAGGAGATATTTACAAAATTTCAATTTTGGTGCTTCGTTAGTGTTGTTCCCATAAGATTGTATTATCTGAGGTGGTTGTTCTGGAATTTTGAATCGTGATTATATCTCCTCCAAGAAATTTTCAAGTTGAGCTATGAAAGAGACTAACCATGAGCTCTCCCTTTAATTTAGACGGTAAGAGAGCAATGACCCATGTTAAGTTGATTGGAGTTGACAAGACATGAGAAATGCTTTAGACTTCTTTAGAGCAACACTAGATCCTGATATTATCTCGACCAAAGCAATTTTGTTGTCATACCTGATCGTGATACAAGTTATTTACCTAAAGGAGAGCCCCAACAAGTTAGCTCTTGAAGTTGCAATGCAAAAATGGGTAAGGCGGAAACAGTTTATACAAAAGACCATACTATGTTCATATACAACGCTTTGGTAGAGGTAGCTGCCAATCTCATTTGATTGACGAAACCACCAAGGAGAGGAGAGGAAATGTCGTTGGTACTCTAAATTTAACAAGCATGTTATAATGATCATTTCTTTACTTTCATGTAAATTTATATTATGACCGAAGTATTATTACCTCAAGCCAAAATATGCAACAAAGAATGTAAAATGCCATGTAGCTGCCACGAAGGAGGAGTAAGAGAGGACCAATTAGTCTGTTTGTTGTTAAGAACTTGAGAAGGATAGGAATCGTGGTAATGGAGAGGTTACATGACGATAGACTTATACAGATTGATGAAATAGAAAGTAATAGAGTTGTAACTTGTAAGTCATTTGTGGGTTTAGTGTAGCAGAGCGATTAGCAATATGATTTCATAGTGGTAGGGTTATTGAGAAAAGTTGTTATCTGCTAGTGTTTCCAAGCATATGTTGCTTGCTTGTTTCTTTAATTTGTTTGTATTTGGGGTTTCTACAACATACTGCATGTTTTGTATTTCTTTTTTTTTTGTCATTTTAATTAACAAAGCTATTTATCATTAAGAAAAAAAATGGTCAACGCATTACATCGACATGATTTGGACATTGTTGGTTTTGGTTTTCTCGGCTAGAGATTCATCGCCTTCAGTGTCACTGTGGTTTATTGTCTAAGGGTAATCCATATTGAGTTTTCTTTATGAAATCGCTTGGTCGCTTCCATTTTCACTGTCGGGAATTAGATCTAGTTAAGCATTCCTATGGTTTTTTCATGTTCACTCTAAGGAATCATGGTGCTTGGCAATAGTTGCTTGATTTGGAACTAATGGCTTGGTTGGATTGTCCATTTTAGTGTTTATGTTTTACTGTTTCTTTTGTAATGCAATACAATAATTACTTTGCATCATATTATTATGGTGTTGTTGGTCTAATTCCGACCATAGCAACATATATACTAATGAGTCATATCAGTCAAAACCAGAGTACCAATATTTAGAACATCCGACCAAGGGACCGAATAATAAGCTAGTACTACTATACTATTATAACCTCACCTTTTCAACCATCACAAGCCCGTAATTCAGAACTAGGCCCTTGATAATATTTGAGGCCCAATTGGCCCTAACTCTCCTCACAAACCCACCCCAAAACTTGCTCTCCTTTTCTCCAAGTCTCAAATCAACCTACGTAGGTATTAAGCATAAAGTAACTTAATCGTTTAGGAGAAGGAGAATATCATCTTTGTTTATCACTCTGCATAATGAGGATCAACATTTCTTGCTCAACGTTTTTACATTTCTTTTTCTATATACCGTAGAAAGTCGATAAAAACTCATAAGATGACTGTGATTACAAAATATGATATACATGAAGTTTTTTCTTTGTCCCCAGAATGCGTGAAATCCCACTCAAATAGAATGCCTCAAGCATGAATGGAGATTATAATAATCCGATGTTAATTATTCCTAGAAACAAATTACGCTTAGCAAATACTAGGATCTTGCAAGGGAAATGAGACCCTTTTTTCATTGAGATTTTGGAGGAAATTGAAATCTACTTCATCAAAACTATTACATCAAAAGTCATCCGACTCATAACAATTTCATTTTTCAAGTAAGTCGCTCTCCACAAGATTTTAGAGAAACAATCTCGTCAGAAAACAACTACAATAAAAGGTTATCGGTGAGAAACTACGTCTGCGACTAGGGGTGGGCATCGGTGCGGTCAAACCGCACCGAACCTCATTTGCACTCGAGCCAAACCGCACCATAATACTTGCGGTCAAATATGCGGCCTGAATATTTAGCGGTTCGCGGTCGAGTTATTCTGAAACCGCGCGGTTGCGGTCCAAAACCGCAAACCGCAAACAATTGGCTGCCTAGTAAATTACTAAATTCAAATTTGATTTTTTCATTCTTCTCTTTTATCCGCCACCGGATGTCGGTCCGGAGGTGATGATTGTGAAAATATTTCTTCGGAAAATAGCTCCTCTTCCTGTTGCTGTCGTGGCAGTTCCGCCGCTGCTACCGCCGCCAATTCCTTTCCTCCACCGAGAAAGGTTCATTCAGAATCACAAGAGCAATCTCTCTTTTTTCTTTTCGTTATGATAATGCAATGCAAGAGGTCGGAAATAAAGTAGTTTCTGATGATGAAAAGAGCCAGGAGTGCATTCTTTTTACGGATGATGTGCCCAAAAGTGTGAATATTCCACGCTTTAGCCTCCTCCGCAAATTCTTTGATCGAGCAGTTTTATTAGTTTGAGTTCTTTTGGGCCCAATCCGCTCCGCGTTTTCCCTCAAAGTCCAGGGCTGAAAAAAGGCATTAATTCCCCAAAATGATAGGGAGGAGTCTTTTCGAACAAAAACCAGGTTGGCCTAATTATTTCACATTTTTTTCCCTCTAAGAATTCAATGACAAGTGGAAAGAGAAGCTGGGTCTTTAATTCCTAAAAGCAAGGGGGCACGTGTCAAAGCTAAGCCCGTGAAAGTAAAATCTTAGAAGTCGAATCAAGCAAAGATCCTCTGACATTAGCGACGACAATATCTTCGAGAAAGGAAACAAGAATCCAAGCAGTTCACTTCCGGCGAGCCATGGTCTTTTTCTCTTTGATTCGTTTACTTATCCTTTAACGCCTCTGGAAAATTGGGTCCGGCGAGCCATGGTCTTTTTCTCTTTGATTCGTTTACTTATCCTTTAACGCCTCTGGAAAATTGGGATTAATTACTAATTAGTGTTATAGGGGATTACACGGCTGATCAAAAAATATAGCAAGTCAATAGGATTAATTAGTTCATATTGAAGTTTAATGTGCGGTGCAATCCAAATAACATGCGTCGCACCACTTGCCCACCCCTATCTGCAACGTAGAAAAGAGGTGGTAGTTATTTCAACTTATAAAATAATAAATTATGGAGGTGCGGGGAATCGAACCCCGCACCACTTGCCCACCCCTATCTGCAACGTAGAAAAGAGGTGGTAGTTATTTCAACTTATAAAATAATAAATTATGGAGGTGCGGGGAATTGAACCCCGTGCCTCTCGCATGCGAAGCAAGCGCTCTACCATATGAGCTACACCCCCAAGTTGTTAAAAATACTATTACAGTTTTAGTTACTTTGTTAAAAACTTATGCACCTATTAGCGGTAATTTATATTATGTTGTTTAATTACATATTATGATTATAAGAACATTCAAGAAGTTTGTGGTTCCTGTTAGCAAAAATATTTGGTAATAATCTTTAGATTATAGTTATAACTTATAAGTAAGTGACTGACAAGATGAATTAGGGTATAAAAAAGAAAGTTATAGGACTATGATAGTTTGTAATTGGGACGATTAAGAATTATGCCGAATTAACTGGATTATTGCATAACCTTCATTTCTCTAATTCTCTCATCTCTCTTGTTTATCTCAGTTGCACCCTTTCCGGTCTCTTTCTCTTTGTTCTCTCTTCTCTTTGGTCCTAAAATATAAATTTTTGTAATATGTGCTTTAAGTAATTCAAACTTCGATGATTGTTATTCGTGATGTTATGATACGCTATCTTTATACTTTTTGGAGAATCGTCACTACAGATAAAAGAAATATTTGTACACAAATACATCCTCATTTTAGGGGTTAAGCAATAGTTGAATGGTGAAAATTTTGGCTCACCTAAGTATGTATTTGTGGACATGTTGGGTGAATGATAGCTTGTAATGGATGAGTAAGCGGGTGTGGTGGATTGATATTCATGAGTTTTTTTTTTTTAATTTGTACAGAAACAGATCAAATTTATATAATTTCTTGTATCAATTTGGACATGAACCAAATCTTCCTAATTAGATTATGTGGTTTGAGTCTAACCCGCAACCACTTTTGAGATAAAATGAAGTTTAGCATAGAGTTCTTTTCTGTTTACTAGGGACCGTAATCACATCATCACTTGTTCATGAGATTGCTTGGCCAATTCCTATCTAAGAAAGTGAAGAATATTTTTTTTTTTTTTTTTGTGGAAAAAGTGAAAAATATTTCGTTGCAAGCCATATGTTTTTCATAGGAGTACTAGCTAGTTGTGAAGTAAGTGATTGAATATAGTATGTTTTGGTGAACATTATTTTGATGAAAAGTAATGGCATATTCTATATTTTGAATTGTGTCTCCTTGTTAGCTTTGCTCTATGTAGACCTATAGTGACAAAGATCACAAAAAATGGCACTAGACAAACGCATCCTCACCCAACCTCGTAGTAGTAGTAGTCGAGCCAAAATAATTTTATTATATAAACAAATTATTAATATATGAACAACTCAGCAATCCAAGTTTTAGTTTTGATGTTTTGGCCAATTCGAGCTTTTACTTCAAGAAAGCGTGCTATCAAATTATATAAAATCCATTCACTAGATTTAGCTAATGATTGATTGAGATTTGTATATTCGAATGCATTTGGCAGGAGAGCTTTACAGAATTTGTGATTTAAATTTTAAAGAGACAAAGACCTGTGCCTGAATCACATTAAACCACTCTAAACCATAAATAAGCTTGACATGTTACCAAACTATACAAAGCCCATAGGTATCTCCAATCCCTAACCACAAATCAATCATCAAACAGAGCTTTCTCATTCAATCCAACCAAATTGAATTCCAAAAAAATTCTCACCTTTGAACCCACATTTCCTTACAATATTGTTTCACAACACATTCTTGTAAACCTCAGGAGTAGAACTTGCAATCTAACATTACTTTTTATGTTCCCTTTATACCATATCAAGCCATAAGTACTCCAACAGTCAATATTTTTAGTACACTTTGTCAACACATTTACAGAAGCCTTGATCACCAAGAAAGAGAAAAAATACACCTTCTTCCTGCTATGCACATTCCTTATACACTTCGACAAATCGGGCTACTAATTAAGCTTGTGCAATCATGGGTGGCGCTGTCTCGTGGTACACGGCCTTATTAGCCTTGGATGACCGCAAGGCCTTCGATAAAGAAGACGACGATGAACCTTTTGAAGGCGTTGATGTCGACGCAGACTTCTTTTTCCTCTTCAGTTTCTTAGGGATGCTTGGTGGGTCTGTAGTTGGCACGGTTTGATCCAGCATTGTTGACACAGGCATCTGGTGAAGCCCCATTGATTCACTAAAATCTGTAGCCAAAAACATCGACAGTAAAAGGGTAAACAAAAAGCATTCATAAAAAGGAAAAGAAAGCCAGGATATTACTTAAGAACATGGAGTTTCAAGCTACTGGAAAGTGCAAAGTGAGACTAGGGGATCCGGAAAAAAACCAACTGATGTTTAATGTTTCACGCTAAGATAGATTCTCTTGTCGAAGGGAAGCATAGTCCCGTGACATAAGCAGCCAAACTCTTTGCTATTTGGACGCAAAGAGGCTTCAATAGCTTTCTTTTGTACACTACAGATTTTAGCTTTCCACGAACCTAAAAATTTGGACACTTTCTGCATTCAGCAACACAAGAATCCAACTATGTTGAAAGCGAACCATTGAGCTTTCTCAACACAAAATCCAAACCGGGCACATGGCATCACATTTTCATTTTCAGGGGTGGGCGACACCATTAAGTATTTAGACCAGACAGACTCGGGGCTGATCTGTGTTTTGATTGAACCAAACCGAATCATTGCCTCTCCCCATTTGTATTCGATCCGATTACAGATCAGACCAGACCATTGCCCACCCCGCTCATAAAAAGGCTAATACCATTCCTCATAGGATGCATTTCAGAGATCCAGGTTTGATATCCCCTACCTCTATCTCTCAATTTTCTATCAGATCCTATACTAATTCGATCCGATTCTGAATCGAACCAGACCACTGCCCACCACATTTAAGAAAAGAAAAGATGCATTAGTGGATATTGAATTACCTTGAGAGGACCATGGAGAGAAAGACATGGAATTGGACTCTTTTGGAACTCCATTTGCTCCACCAAAAGGTTTTGAGGATGAGAATTCAGGAGCTGTCTTGTACTCACTCATCTGCAGAAGAAACCAGAGACCCCAACATTATTAAAGATCAGAACTTTTTCTATCCACAAAATGGGAATATGGGGGATAGTTCAGTAATTTGCTATATATATAACCCAAGTGAATTAAAGATCAAAACTTTCTTTATCAACAATATCAGAAAATGGGAGATAGTGCCTAAATGAATCAAAGATCAAAACCATTTTATCACTGAGCTGGGTGGAATGGGAGAAATTCACTGCTTTGCAATATAAATTGAACTTACCCAGCTGGGTGGATTCCCAGAGGCGCCATCCCATCCAATGTGAGCAACATGCTTTACATCAGTTGGGCACCCAATCTCCAGCTCTCTCTCCTTCACAACTGCAAAACAGGAAGAAACCCAGGGAAGAAAGAAGACCAACATGAGTACCTATTCAGAAAAACCACCTTATCCTAATTGCATAAGGAATCCTTGAATTCATTGACACACTATGAGAAGAAACAGAGAGGTAGAGTAGGGGGTAGTACCAAAGATTTGAGTGATGAATTTGAACCCTTTGTAGAACACTTTAATCTTGTTGGCTCCCATTTTGTCAACCCAACCCCAAAAGCAAAATCAAATTTAAGTAACAATGCTGCCGCAGAAGGTCACAGAACCACACAAAAGAGAGGGGGCAGCCGATTGGGTGTAGTTCCTTTTGCCTGCTCACAAGCAAAGTGGGGGAAAACCCCAAAAAGGTATGAGCTTGGGAACAAACAAACAAAAAAACACCAAAAAGATTCATCAATGCATGTGATTTTGAGAAGCTATTTTCCTCAGTTTCCCCTGAAGCAAGATTGGAATGTGTAGGCATAAAAGAAGCAAGGATTCATCAAATTAAAGTACGAAAAAAAGCCCCCAAAAATACCTCTTGAGGAATGGCTGTAATGGAGAAAGATTTAAGAGAGAAGCATCTCAGAATCTCCTTCCTCCAAGCAGTACGACAAAGCTCTCTTCTCCATTTTAGTGCTAAAAGAAAAAACCCCAGAAGGACAACCAGAGCACAAAAAGAAGCTCGGCAGCTGAACAAGAAGGCAGAGGAAAATGGGGGAGGAAGGGTTTATTGGAAGACAGGATGTGAGGGAAGATGGGAGAACACTCGGAACAGAAAACAGAAAGGAAGGGAAAGTGGGAGAGGGAGAGAGGGGGATTGACTAATTATTTTAATTAATTCCCAAAGTTTGATTGATTTGTCATTTGTATGATGAGGATATGAGAGAAAGAGAATGGGTTGGTGGGTTTTTTTCAGTTTGAGGTGGTGCTGTGCTTGACAGGGAAAGAGGAAAGGGGGGATTTTCTGTGAAAGAGCTGTTTTCTTTTTGATTTCTTTGTTGGGTTAGTAGTGTAATGATGCTTGTTTGTTGAAGGAGCGGAGGGAGCCAAATGGATTTGATTGAGGGAGTTAGGGTTTTATATCAACTGGGTTTTGCCGAAAGATCCCACCTTTATCTGTTTAATTATGTCCATGAGATTTTCGAGCAGAGTTTTTTAATTATTTTTTTCTTTGCACAACAGAGTAAACAGACCAAACAAAAAGATGTTTCGTTTGTTTGTGTCCTTAATTTATGTGTTCTTGACTTGTGTTCAATGAAACTGTAACGCGCTCTCAGCTTCCCAATACAGTTTTGTCATTTTCTTGGTAAGGCTCCATTTTTATTAGTCATTTTGTAATTAGTAATGGTAAAAAAAATTAATAAGAATGTGGTTATTACATTTTCTGAAGAGATCTAGTCTGCATTAGTGAAACAGACTTCTAATCTCAAACAGTACGTTGCAGTAGAGTTGATGAAGTGTGCAGTGAACTATTCTCATCTCATCACAAATTATTAGGAGTTGGCTAGTAATTTTAAAGTTAGTATCATTGTCCTCTTATAAAACTTCGATATACGTCATTATAGTTGTAGTTAGTGTCAATGAAATTCGAAATCAAGTTTTGGAGAGTTCAAATTTTGATTTGAGTTACCTAATCAAATGGCCAGAACACAAATTGTTAATAACCCCTTGCTTATAGTTGTGCGGCTATGCCCCCTTGCTTATACTGTTTGATAGTCTACATCTTAATTCACATGTCGATCTAATGACTCAAAACATATGGATGTATGATCAAGGACATACTATCACTCCTATAAACACGATAGTCCGAGTTCTAATCGGGTACTTTTCCTTTTATGCCATGGCCTAATACATTTAATGGATCCAAATCACATGGGGATGTAATAAGTTAATGGAAACAAGAGAGAGATGTCAGGCAGAGCTAGGGGTTCCTTTATTATGGTGTGTATGTGTAATGGTTTTCGGGCCACCGATTAAGTACGGTTTCAGTGTTTGATTTCATGAATTTTCTAAATACCGAAAAATGGATCGAATTGAACCACATTTTCTGTGATTTAATGTGGTCCTTACAAGACCGTTGCACATCCCTACCACTAACATGACCTCTAGGCTCTCCCTCCCTATCAAGATCACTTCACTATGCTTAATTATTAAAATTAAAGCACATCTAATATCCTTTTGTTCATAATAATAATAATAATTAGGTGGCAGTGTGCTTCTCGTTTTATCCTCGGAATCTGGAGAGCTTAAAAAGCTATTATTGCAACTCACAATTTCCCCCCATTTTTGTATCTCTGTCAAATCTCTTTTTTTTTTCTTAATTCAATTTATGTGTTATGGGGACATGTAATTAGGGCTTAGCATGACATGTAATCCAAAAGTGGGGTTACTCGTACCCACGTTTGGTTTTGGTGGGCAAGCTCAGCAGCATAACCCCTTTAATTAATTAATTAACTACAAATCTTCCAACTTGATTAAATTATTTTGTTAATTATTATTATTATAAGCAACTGCAAATCTTGACATTCCATTTTGCAAACTATGATGTCTGTATCATTTCTGTTTCTCTGCCATTCGTGGTGACGTCTTCTTTTTGTTGTTGGTGGTGATTCATCTAAATTATCCACTTGTCATTGTGATAATTAAATTTAAATTCAATTATCAAAATTTGGAATTCCCCTATTGCCAGTAGGGGTGGGCGTTCGGTCGGTTCGGTTCAAACCGAACCGAACCAGTATATGCCGATTTTCCGAGATTACAAATACCCCAACTGAATTCGAACCGAACTATATTTCGGTTCGGTTTGCCCGAACCGAAATATAGCTCGGTTCGGTTCGGATTTTTCTGTCAAAACCGAATTTATGCAGCGTGAAGACTTCCCCTCTTTGCCTTCACCCATTACCTCGCTCTCTCTCCTCTTTTTGCTCTTCTCCGCTTTTTCTCCCTCTCTCTAGCTATCTAACTCTGCCTCTTTCCCAATTCCCATAAGCAGAGCAACAAAGCCAACCCTCCCTGCCTCTTTGTCGTTCCCAGCTCCCACAAAGCCCAACCCTCCCTGACTCTTCGTTCTCCCCCAAATCAATTCGTCTCATCTCCCTCTATCCCCGACCATCGTCTCCGCTCCCCGAATCCCCCAACCCCAACCATGCATCTCATCCTCCACCTTCGACATAGATTCAAAAATCTCCCCCAATCACCCCCAATCTCATTGATTCTCTCTCATCGACTCACTGGACACTGGCAGAGGCTACCAATGACACATGCACCGCCGGGGTCAGCAGAGGCCACCGATGACACATGCGCCGCCGCGGGAAGCAAGAACAGATCCAGACTCTCCTTCGATTCAACATTTGTTTTTGTTTTTGTTTGATTCTGTTTTGTTCTAGGTTTGCTAATCTGAGGTTTTGTCTTTTTTGATTTGGTTGGTTTTGATTATAAATGGCCGGCGATGAGAAGAGAATGGGGAGAGGGAAAGGATAGGACTCCAATGGCCGGCCAGAGGAAGTTGGCGGGCGGTACATCCACGGCAGGGGATGGCGACGGCAAAGAGGCAGGATGCTGGTTCTAGAAGAAGAAGAAGAAGAAGAAGAAGAAGAAGATATGATTTTGGAATGGGCTAGGGTTTTAGTGGCAGAGAGTGGGCTTGGGGTTGTGGGCTGTATGTGTGTGAGGGTGGGCTTGGGTTGTGGGATGTGTGAGAGTGGGCTTGTAAATGTGGGTTGTGTGTGAGAGGGAGAGGAATTTCGATTTGTTCGGTCGGAATTCGGAATTTCGGGTTCGGTTGGGCACACCCTGGTTTCCGAAGTATTGGGTTTTGCCTTCCGAATTCCGAACCGAATAACAAAAGTTCGGTTTCGGTTCGGTTTATTTCGGTTTCGGTTCGGGTTTACCGAACCGGTTGCCCACCCCTAATTGCCAGAGGCCAGTTGAGCTGCTGAGGTCACAGACACCACACCAATAGGAATGTATGCAGAGGCGGAGCTACATTGAAGCCGGGGTGGGCCCCGGCCCCCCGGGATTAGTCCCGACCCCGAGGACCTTAAGTATATTTAGTACAAAATTTATAAGTAAAGTTTGTTCTGTAAATTTTATCAAGTAATATCTTGTGCTCTAATGGTAGCCAACCTTTACTTGTGCTTAGAGCATATGAGTTCGATTCCCATCTGCCAATTAATTTTGCTCTCCGTCTGCCATTCCCCAAACTAAACAGACACCTATTTAATTCTAATTCCCATTTACGTTGTCATTCCCCAAAACCAAACAGAGACCTTTTTAATTCCAATTCCCTTTCCTATCCCCATAATAATTCCAAGTCCCAACTTGAAATAGATAAAAAAATCCTTATTTATTAGATGCTATTTTGAGTGATTTCAATGATCTAAAAAAACGTCGTGTACTTCTAAAATAATTATAAAATATTATGTTAGTTTTTTATTTAATTATTTTCGGCCCCCCGGTCTCAAAATCCTGGCTCCGCCCCTGTGTATGTACATAAATTCGACCTCATTTCAACCCTATATAACTCGACATATGAGTTTAGTATTGGGTCTTGTTGGGCCATGTCTGATTCGTTGTCATTAGGGTTTTAACCCTAAGTCTCTCTATATAAGCTTAGCTACGAGATTGTCGTAAGCAAGCTGTCACAATGTAGTCCCATAATAAAATCATCAGCCGTGAGCTCTTCCGAGCTCACCGTGGATTAGTCTCGATCAATCAATCGATCGAGGATACCACGTAAAATCTCTTGTCTCGTGTTCTTTTCAATCAGTTCAGCATAGTAACCACGATGTATCAGTCAAGGAGGTTCCCCAGTCTCGTTCAAGAGAGATGATAGTCAGAAGTCTCTCGATCGGTCTCATTCAAGAGAGGCGCAGTCAACAGCCTCTCGTTCAATCTCATCCAGGTAGAGGCGCAATCAACCGTCTTCATCATATCAAACGAATCAGACGTGACCCAACAAGACCCAATACTAAACACGGTTTAAGTAACCGCAACACTATATGATTATTATCTATCTACCATATCGTGTAAAAATGGGAAGATGAAACAAACTTCTGTCTACCATATTGTATATGATATTTTTAGTCAGATTATATGTAAGATTGTGAGGATAAAACAGATATAGTAAAGAATCTCAGGTCCATATTGTGAATTTGTCGTCTGAGTGAAATTTATACGTCGTTCTATGCTATCAGTGTAGTGCTCATCTGGGCCGGAGTCCGGACCATCTTCTTGATCCAAAATTGTTCCCCCAGGCCCAGTACTTGAGGCCCAACTACCCACAAGATCAAGCCTTTCAATACGGGAAATGCTTATGGAACGTTTTATTCTCTCTCACGAAATAACAGAAAACCACAATATATCCAATTGGCAAAGATTCAAATTCAAGGTCCAGTTTTACACATTACAACAACACAGAATGAAATGATCGAAACACGAATCAAGCAAGTTAACGAATCAACCATAATTAAGCCGGAAAATGTCGTTCTGCACGAAGAAGGTCCCGTGGATCGTCGGAAGCAAGTGAAACATCTGCAATCACGACGACGACGACAACAATAACGAAACAAAATTTAGTTCAATGTCCGAGTCAAATTTTGTTCAATGGCTAGCTTGGTGGGACAAACCTGGCTGAATCGGAGGGGATGCTCCTCGCCCAGCAGATGCAGGCTGCCGCTGACGAACACCACGATGCCACCCGTGGCCGCGGCAGCCTGCGAATCGATGGTGCTGACGGCGTGCTTGCATTGGTCGAACGGCAGGCCTCTGAGCTTGGCGGTGATGTCTGCGGCGCCGACGAACTTCTGGCCTTCGAAGGTGAGCATGGAGGTGGGCTGGTAAAGGGACGACAGGGAGGATCGATCGGCGTCGAAGAGGTGGTAGTAGTGATCCACGAATGACTTCCCTAATGTTTCCACTTGTTCTTCCATTTTGCGCTGTGGAGGAATGGGAATGGGAATCGTTAATGGCTTCTCCTTCTTCGTACGCGACCTTGGGGAAGGTCAGGTCTTATAAACAGAGTGGGGAAAGTTGCAGAGTTTGGGGTTGTTGACGGATTTGTCCTCGTTGATTGGCCGTGGTGTGAGGTTACAGGGGAGGGTAGAATGGTGAATTCGCGGGAAGGGAGAATCACAGGCGGCTGTGTTCTTACGCAAAGCTTGTGTATTATTGTATGGTGGGATCATTAACCGGAACGACTAAGATGATAATCAACCAAGATTGGAGTGGAATCGGCATGAGATTGATCCGGAATATTAGAAATCGAGGAACAAAATCGAATCGAAATAATGTACCTTCTGATTCGTTAGCTTTTGAGAATTAGGAGGGTGGAGAACCCAAACCTAATCGAAGTCCATTCGATCCAATTATCGGTTGGGTCTGATTCGAACTGGGTTGTGGAGCAAATGGTTTGCACAGACTACCCTGTATCAGGTTTCTTGTCCAAGTTAACCAGATAATTGGTTCTACACTTTCCTTTACTTTTCTGGTGAAGGTAAAGTTCATCAAGCAAAGAACTACATAACCGGTTACTAAGCCGAACTCGAGGGTAGATATAGTTCAGAAGAAATCAACATACAGTTACAAAACTGAATTTAAACGAATAGAGAACTTATAGAATACAAGTCGATTAGAGACTACAGAGCGCCGATGAGGAAGAGAGCACAGACCTGCCTGCCCACGCATGAAGAAAATACCGCTCAACCTAAATTGATTTTACACGAGTCGAATCGAAACTGTCATTACTATCTCCCAATGTAGCGAACAAAAGTATAAGCGTATTCATGAGAACACCATCACAACATGCATAATTGCTTCAAACCAAAATGAAAGAAGTTCAAATTGCAGAAGACACACAAACCTTAAACTGCAGAAACACAGCTAATGTTGAAGTCAATGGAGTCCAATTACTCCCACGAGGAAGCAATCTGATGATCTTAAGTTCCAGAACTATATTAACTTCAGACAACTAGCTGCCATTTCCATCACTGAAGTCTCTACAGTGTGCGGCAACCTTCACTCGACAACTCTCCCATTCACATTACACGGATAAAATCACAGCATTGAAGAACACACATCTATCTACAAACAATCACGAAGTAAACAGTAGGAGCATATTCAGTGTTCAATGAAGCAAGTCAACCAAAAGACCAGCAACTGCATAAGTTGGTCTGTACTGATGATCAAAGCTTCCAACTAAAATCACTAGCCAAAAAACTAAGTAATCCCCATACAAAAATTCCACCATGACGAAACTCTCAATACCATGATCAAAGCTTCCAACTAAACATAGTAAGTCGTAAATGAGATAAGACCCTAAAAAATCTGGCGAGCAGCCATTCAATTCAGGCCAGAGTAACAGTACTTTTAAAACCATAAAAGTGGGAGCTAAATTACCAGCCAAAAAGCTACGTAGTCGCTGTTCCAATATACCATCCACATGTAAATGTTCACCGATACTAAGCATTAACCAGTTATGAACAGCATAGAAATCTCAGGAACCCTGGAAGGCAGCCATTCTGTTCAATGCAGAGTAATAGTAGTACATTCTAAACCATCAAAGTAAACTATCTACCAGTCTCTTCTTTAAAGCAAGAAAATCACTCACCACCATTCGCATTTTCTAACCACCATCTCGAAAAATGCCGGAGCTTAGTACGAAATGCAGCTGCCATCAACATCACCTCACCTTGATCAGCTCCAGCTCCTGGGCCAGAAAGTATGAATCCCATAACCAGTCTTCCAATTATCCAAATACACAACCTTGCTCACAGCCCAGAAGCAAACCAATATGGAGGAGATCATAATCACCCTCTGAGCAGTCACATTCTTCACCTTCACTAGCCCATGAGTCATCACGGCAAGCAACAACCCAACAACAGTATACAGAAACCCTACAGCAAACCCCTCAGCTCCCAATTGCATCCCAGAGCCTTGGTAAAAGAACACCAGCTTGCTAGGATCATTCCGATCGACCATGAACATGGGCATCTTACGAATTATATTATGCATCGCACCAGAAACGCTGAAGAAGTAAATGAAAACCGAACCAGCCAACCAGACTTTTGGATCGTGGAACACGGTCTCCCCTGCGATGACCTTCTTCACGAAGTACGGCGTCCAGCAGAGGAAGAACGCGATCAGGAACCCTAGCTGAGTCTTCGACATGAACGGCGGGCGGTGGATCGGGCCGACGGAGATCTGGGTCCTCGATTGGACGAACTCCGCCATCGATTCCGCCAGCCTCGAGGAATCCCCCTGGTTCATCTGCTCCGAATCCTTGGGGTTCTTGACATCGGGGCCGATTAGGCGGATGTGGGGGAGGGAACTGACGCCGAAGAGGGAGAATGTGGATTGCGATTCTTTGAACTCGATGTCGCAGAGGAAGAGCTTGCCGTTGTTTGGGTTGTTGGTGATGAAGGAGGAGGAGAGGAGAGAGAACTCGCGGTGGAGATCTTGGAGGCGGAGCTCGGAGTTGTCATGGAGATGCTTGGCGTCGAAGAAGACGAGGAGGGAGTAAGGGCGAGGGGGTTTTGTGGAGGTCAGGAAGCGGGAGATGGAGTGGTCGTGGAGGTGGATGACGCCGGATTTGGAATGGGATTGAAGGGAGAGAAGGTCGGCGACGAGGTCGGATTCGTCGGCGGCAGCGATTGTGAGGAGGAGGAGGAGGAAGAAGAAGGAGAGGAAATGGGAAAGGTTTGGGGAGATCGACATTTTCGTTTTGCCGGCGAGAGCACTGAAGTCTGGGACTGGGAATGTACAGAAGAAGACGACTTTGACCTTTCTTCTGGTCAGTGGGCTTTTTGTTTATTTTTACTTCGGCCCAAATAACTAGTGTTTTTAGCATTCGGACTCGGATTGAATCGAGAGTGGCAGATTGAGAATGTATATATTGAACCTTCTCCAATGAAACTCTCATAACTTAAAGTCGATACTTTGTCTTTAAGTAATAGCAACACACTTAAAGTCGATACTTTGATCAGTTGGAGACAACTGAGGAGGGTTTTTGGAAGAAGCTCTGGAGTTGGAAGGGGCCAAGTCGCACAAAACACTTCCTTTGGTTGGTGATGCATGATAAACTTCTCACAAACAAGGAAAGCATGAAAAGGAAGCTCACCCTGAATGGCAACTGCACCTACTGCAACGACACTGAAGAAACCACAGAACATATCATTAGACTCTGCAGGAAGACTGAAGGGATCTGGGAAAAATTCAGAACCAGGGTTACTTGTAAGGATAGAAACCTCCCATTCAAGGAGTGGATGTCCAAGAACCTTGAGGATGCAAACCAAGGTACTGAATTTGGCCTGATTGTGTGGCATCTTTGGAAACAGAGGAACGAGGAATGTATGGAAGGCACTGTGTATGTGGAGAAGTCTCTTTTTTGCAGGATTGAGACTTGGTTCAATATTTATAAGAAGGCCCTGCAAAATGTGGGCAGGAGCTTCATGCCCGAAAGAACGAGAAGCGAAGTCCAGGTTGGATGGATCCCTCCACCTGAGGGATGGGTACAAGTCCAGACTGATGGTTCTGTCCTCTCTCCCTCAGGTCATGCTGCTGCAGGTGGCCTTGTTCGTGACTGTTTGGGACGCTGCTGTGCAGCTTTTGCTTGCAACTTGGGGAACTGCTCAATCACTGCAGCAGAACTCAAAGGAGCAGCTGTTGGGCTAGAGATCGCATGGGAGAAGGGCTTCCGACATGTTGAACTCAAGCTGGACTCTACTACTGCTATCACCATTATGAAAAAACGTTCGGATGATGATCACAGGCATGGACTGCTGGCACAACACATCAGCAACCTCCTGAATCGTGAATGGATTGTGTCTATTTCTCATGTGTATAGAGAAGGAAATCAGGCTGCTGATTTTATTGCTAATTTTGGTCGCAATCTTACTTTTGGAACACATCATGTTGATGTGGACATCCATGAGCTCTGTAAATGGCTTGACTACGATGTTATGGGTGTGTCACAACCAAGGTTCATTAATATATGAGTCCTAGACGCTTTTGCGTCTGTTTTCCTACAAAAAAAAAAAGTAATAGCAACACACTTAAATATAGCCATAAAGAGCTTAAACGATGTAGAAAGTTGACTTGATTCCATAAGACGACCGGTTCATTATAAAGCTACACTCAATTATTGAAATTCAGATCATACTTCCTTTTTGTTAAAACTACAAACTATCTACAATCGATCACTCTCTTCTTCGTCGTTATCTCCCTTTTCTCCTCTTATTATTACTAACTCATCAACATTTTTAATTTTATTTTTCGACTTGTTACATAATGATTCTAATTAATCAAGCATCCACAGTCTCTCCGACGGTTTCTGCGTTAGCGATAACAAACTCCGGCTGATTCATCACCTTCCCGTTTGACTTCATCCAATGCATTGGCTCAATTTGTGCTTTTGGGCTCTTGGCTCTCACCAAAGAAAGACAAAAAAATTGGCCCAATATTGTTTGGGCCTGGGAAACGACAGTAAGATGATCAGCCTAAGCCCACGATAGCTGATGATAATGGATAAATCCATATCGAGAGTGGGGCACGTACTTACCAGTAATTAATCACAACTTAAGAAAATAAATTCGAATGAAAAATGACAGCTGTGGGATTTGAACCCACGCCCTTTCGGACCAGAGCCTAAATCTGGCGCCTTAGACCACTCGGCCAAACTGTCATACATGGTTGATATGGCAAATTAACTAATACTTATCGTAATTGGGTTTTAAATTATCTATTTAAGAAAACAAATCCATAAAACACGTTTGCAAGGTAAGGCTTTGTTTCTCTCGTCTATCTACCAAAATAAAAACAAATGGAGTCGCAATAAATTTATCTCGAATGCCTTACTGATATTCCGCGTTAAAATTGTAGCAGAACGGTGAAGATTTACCTCCCATAAGCCCAAGACCAAGCCCAATCGGAGCACGTCTAAACAAATATATACGCTGGGTATGGGCTTTTGTTGGGCCAAGCCCACACCGACCTTTTTGTTATTTCTCGACACGGACACAAACTCGGAGAATAACAGCTTTTCCAGGGCTAGTTCAGCCAATTCAGGTCGACACTATAACCATCTTTTTCTGGAATTCTCCCGATCGGCCGATCTCCGATTCTCCGCTGGATTGTAATTAAGGGATTGGCGATTTAGGTTTCCGGCAAGAGGCAAGAAATAAAGTGCTCGCTCTCCGACGATGGTTTGCGGCAAGTGTAAGTCTTCTTTTTACCTCCTCCCTCTTCAGCGATTTTGATTCCCCGATCGATTGAAGCTGCGATTTCACGGAATTCTCTTTTTGATCCAGGCGAGAAGAAGCTGACGAAGGTGATAGTTCCGGATAAATGGAAGGAAGGAGCTTCCAACACCTACGAAAGCGGCGGCCGGAAGGTCAACGAGAACAAGCTCCTCTCGAAGAAGAACCGGTATGCTTTTCTTCTATGCACCTGCGCAATTTCATCTGAACTGTAGTGTAACCGATGTTCAATTAGCAAAAGGGGGGAAGCTAATAGCTTTCAAGCAATTCAATTTCGAGGGTACTAATACTCATTTTTCCCCGAGTGTCGATAGCAGCTTTGGAGAGGCCCGTGTCTACTCTCTGGGTTCATTAGAAGAGTTTAATCATAGAGGTTTTTTCGTAGCGAGTTCAGACAGGAAAGATAGTTCTTATTGTAGGACGCGAGACTAGCAAGCCCCACCTGATTTATTGTTCTGTTCTTCTCTTGATATGTGTACTTACCATGTTCGTAACTCGATTCTAAGGCGTCCCAAGTGAGCGACTTCTGAACGATGACTTGGGAAGTAGAGCAACTAGCATGAGCTGGAATGGGTGCGTAAGAGACTGGAAATGTTCTTGCTCAATGTTTGTGCATCATAGTAGAAACATAAATTTGGTCTTATGATGTACTGAGTGATGCTGGTCAGCTGCTGCATACATTAAGCGAATACATCCGAAGTCATCGTCTTTAGCAGATCATTCGAATAATTTGGCCATAAATCTTCCAAGCACTGCTACATTTGGTTCATAATCATGGATGCTTAATGCTAATGATTTTTCTTGTATGCTAATTGTTCTTTTGAGACGAATAACTTTCTATGTTAATTTGGTTTCTGCAGATGGACGCCGTATGGAAACACCAAGTGCACGATCTGCAAGCAACAAACACATCAAGAGGCCAAGTACTGCCACACCTGTGCCTATACCAAAGGTACCTTAGTTATTGCACACCTTAGTACTCAAAGTGTGGACAAATTCCGTTCGTTGTTCATATTTTCTGTTGTCTACTCCTGAGGAACTGACATCTATTTGGATATATTTTCTCAGGAGTCTGTGCAATGTGCGGTAAACAAGTCTTGGACACGAAGGCTTACAAACAGAGCAATGTGTGAGTAGATGATCCATACCTGGCAGACCGAGTTCTACAAGCTGAAGCGATGTATTAGTCGAAGACCAAATCATACAACCTTGGTTCTTTATTCGCATTTACTGCGTTGGATAACTCATGAGACATTGATGATTTGTGACCATCTCTTAACTAGTGTACTTTACATGATACCAAACTGGGGCTGTAATGAAGATCTTTTTATTCTGTTTTGCTGAGACTTGTACTTTGTTCCTCAGCTGTATCTATCGGCAAGAATGCTAGTCCAACAGGGTTTATTGCACAGGTTGTAAAATGCTTCAGCAATTAGGCTTCATTCGCTTGTGGAGTATCTAGAGTTCCAGTACTTCTCAATCTCCTGAGCTGTTCTTCCAGGGATTCTTCCGGCGATCAAGTGCCACCTGCATGAACAACAATAGAAGTAAGGTGATCGATAGTTCAATCCTAAAACTGAAACTGCGAATATAGAGGAAACGGACCTTTCTCCAACAAGTTTATACATCCTGATTATGAGAGACTCCTCATCGTCGGAGAACTTGATCCCTTTCTCTTGCTTCTGTCGCCCCATCTCTGTAGTATCAAACACTGACGATGAACAGTCAAATCACACTTGACAACCCTAAAGATAATACACGCCAAAATCAAACTTGGTTCACCTTGAGATTTGTCTAAAGCGTCACAGCAAGGTGATGTAGAATGCTTGGAGTCCGCCATATCGAAACAATCCGTGAGCAGGAAGCAATGCTGTGAACTTCTAGTAAGAAAAGGAAGGGTTGTGCTGTTTATGCAACTCGAATGTCATGCTTTATTACTAAATAGGAAGCAAGGCATGAGAGTCCAAGCAAGAATGGTAGGTTTTGACCGACAGGCGAGCGAGCCTCTTTTTAAGTTTGGCCAGAGTATCCAGCTTTCGGACAGTTGGATGAGGGAGACCTTTCTTGGAAAAGCAACGCCTCTTTCTACCTGGAGGATGGTACGTGATAAAAGGGAAGCAAAGAGACAATGGAGTGGCTCTTTAGTCCTTGCCCATTGTCTCCCTAAACTTCATGAAAGTGACTACATGCAGCTGTTTGATCCTTATCCATATGGTGCCCTTCTCAAAATATGCTATGGACACCCATCTCCGAACGAAGAATATGTCAATTTAACCAGATTGTGCAGCCTAAGATCCAACTGCATCAGGATTTGTGAGGTGGGTTGGTTTTCAATTTGACAGAAGATCAATACATCTACCAGTCATTATTCAAGCTCTAGTTGCGTGGCAATGGAGTGGTAAGCACTAAGCAAAACTAAGAATACAGCAAAAGAGTGAGTAGGAGACTAGTGAGGTAAGTTGGAGAAAAAATGGAACAATGGGATCAAAATGAAGAGAAATTGGCCATAGATACGAAATACTTCCGACGTTATTATTCAACACAACAGAGAACAAAAGAGAGAACTGTTCACAATGCCACCAGGGCCAACATAGTACTGAAAGAAACAAAGCTTGAAACTTGAGAAGCCATTAGGCTATCCCATGAAAACCCGAAACTTAAAAGAAAAACATTCTTCAAACATCCATCATAAAACCAACAACCTTCAAAAGCCATCACAACACCAAACAGACAATAGCAACACCAGAGCCGGAACACTCATTTAGAAGCCACCACGGAGACGCAGGACAAGGTGGAGGGTAGACTCCTTCTGGATGTTATAGTCGGCCAAAGTCCTTCCATCTTCAAGCTGCTTGCCAGCGAAGATCAGCCTCTGCTGGTCTGGTGGGATTCCCTCCTTATCCTGGATCTTTGCCTTCACATTATCGATTGTGTCGCTGCTCTCCACCTCCAATGTGATGGTCTTTCCAGTAAGGGTCTTGACGAAGATCTGCATTCCTCCCCTGAGCCTGAGGACCAGATGGAGAGTTGACTCCTTCTGGATGTTATAATCGGCCAGGGTTCGGCCGTCCTCGAGCTGCTTCCCTGCAAAGATGAGCCTCTGCTGGTCTGGTGGGATGCCCTCCTTGTCCTGAATCTTAGCTTTGACATTGTCAATGGTATCACTGCTCTCCACCTCCAGAGTGATGGTCTTGCCGGTCAGAGTCTTCACAAAGATTTGCATACCTCCTCTCAGCCTCAAGACAAGGTGAAGGGTAGACTCCTTCTGGATGTTGTAGTCTGCGAGGGTCCTTCCATCCTCGAGCTGCTTGCCAGCAAAGATAAGCCTCTGCTGGTCTGGGGGAATGCCCTCCTTATCCTGGATCTTCGCCTTGACGTTGTCGATGGTGTCAGAGCTCTCAACCTCCAAAGTGATCGTCTTTCCAGTCAGGGTCTTCACAAAAATCTGCATACCACCCCTGAGACGCAGGACGAGATGGAGAGTGGACTCCTTCTGGATGTTGTAATCAGCGAGGGTCCTTCCATCCTCAAGCTGCTTGCCAGCGAAGATCAGCCTCTGCTGATCCGGTGGGATGCCCTCCTTGTCCTGGATCTTTGCCTTGACATTGTCAATGGTGTCTGAGCTCTCGACCTCCAAAGTAATCGTCTTTCCGGTCAACGTCTTGACGAAGATCTGCATGCCTCCACGCAGACGGAGAACCAGGTGCAGTGTGGACTCCTTCTGGATGTTGTAATCCGCCAAGGTCCTCCCGTCCTCCAGCTGCTTTCCGGCGAAGATGAGCCTCTGCTGATCCGGAGGAATCCCCTCCTTGTCCTGGATCTTTGCCTTAACATTGTCGATGGTGTCGCTGCTCTCGACCTCGAGAGTAATAGTCTTCCCGGTGAGAGTCTTGACAAAGATCTGCATCTGTAACCCAACAAAATTGGAGAACCCTGATTCAGCAATATGCGATTGAAATTACCAGAATCGACGAACTATCACCGATGAAAGATTAACAAAAGCAAAAATTCACAGCTCGAGCAAATTCATTCAACCCACGATCACATAAACAGAACAAACAAACCCTATTTCGGAAATTCAAAATTCAACCAGAATATCTAATTGAATTGAAGAACGATAGATAAAGAAAGCCAATCTCCTAAATTCTACCCAATCGATATTACCAGATCACAGAGACCCTAAATTACACAACCAATCTCCTATCTAAGATAAAGAAAGCCATAATTGACGAACCAGAGAAAACGAACGAACCCGGAAAGCAACAGAACGATGTATATCACAATACAGAAACCCTATCTCCTAAATCAAAAGGACGCAGACCAACCAAAAAAAAAAAAACCCTAATTCCGAGATTCTACGTTCAATTCCAATGTAAACGAGAACCCAGAACTGAAAGAGGAAGAACAGAGAAAGGAAGGAATCGGATTCAGGTATTACCTTGAGAGGGACGAAGGGAAGAACAAGTCTGAATCGAACTCGAAGATGGGAGATTTGATCAGAGAGAGATGGATTGGTGTTATGGCTGAATTGTGGAGATGGAAGGGAGGATTGGGAACCAAATTTATAGATGGGGAACTGACCGCCTTAGTCACGGAGAGCCAATATGAATACGACACGTGTATGGAATGACGTGATCGCCGGCGTCTTTTTCTTTGGCCTAGTTGACACGGCAAGGGTCTGTTTGGTTGTCGTCTAGGAATTGGCATCTTCTTGATAATAAAAAGAGGTCTTGCCTGCCGTTGATAATTATTATGGCGTTTGTTGCCGAATGCCGACGGATATCACGGCGTTAGTTGGCACTTGCCGTGAAAAAGGACGAGGGGTGGTTTCGGTCGAAAAAGCTGGGCATATTATGCGCCAGGTAATTAGACGGAGTTAGGAACTTGAAAGGGACGGATGGTGACCGTTTCTTTGGGTTGTTAGTGGATTGGGTTAGGTTAGTAAATAGTAGTTTATTTGCAAGTGGGCTTTTCTACTTTAATAATCTGACGGGCCGGCCAGATATTGTAGTTTTACAAAGGAGTGATAATCCGATTAATTGGTTAACTGAAGAACGAATAAAAAAATTGGTTAATCGGCTAACCGAAGATAATAAAAAAAAAATCGATGTCGGTTGGCCTATTTGAGGTTATTTGCTAATCGGCGATTATCGGTTACTAACCGGCAATTATCGGTGTACCGGTAACTAACCCGCTAGATATCCATCTTCCTTTATTCGCCGCCCTAGCCCCTGCCCATTCTTCCTCTACCTTGCGCCTCCACATATCCCCCTCCCTTTTCTTTTCTCACAACCGCACCAATTATCAGCCCTAGTTTTATAAATGGATTTTCTCATAGGAAGGTAGTTTGACATGGATAAATTTTTTCATTTTTATATGGATTCTGACTTTCATACCAGACTTTTTAGGCTTTACAAATATGTTCGATTTTGAATGTGCAGTGAAAACAATTTATGTCAATTGGCATTCATATTCAATTCATGCTAATTTAGAGTACGAAACTAATACACATATCCTATCCAAACTCATCTACAAAACTCCAAACTCATATAGACTTCAACCATATCATTATACACATAATCGATGAGTTTACTAGAGGTTTGGGGTAAAATTATCCATGGGCGGGCAATTGCCAACCTATAATGTCGTCATTACTGAGCTATTGTCATTTACAGGGTCTCCGAATATTAGGGGCTCTAATTTAGGTATGTTAGTTAATCAAATTATATATTATTTTATGAACTTGATTGATTATGATTACGATTATGATGATGCGTTCAAATATTTTAGTTAATACTAATGCTAGTAATATTATCATGCATAGATAAACGAGACGTGTGTATTCATTGTTAAAGTTATATTGTGTTATGAAAGCACTTTTTATGAATCGGTTATTCCATTCCATAAAAAGAGCTTTGCTGACAACATCCTTGCCAGCTAGATGATCCTGCTACAGGGGAGAACCAATTACACTATATGTAATCAAAACTAAAGCTCTAATAGTTAAGAAGCCTCATGATAACAAGGGGAAAAAAAAACTAAAAACTAAAAAATTCAAAAAATAATAATTTTTTATTCCTTGATAGTTGACGTGGCAAGTGAGGTGGACTTTGACTAACGGTCAACCGAGTTGACCATCTAATTTGACGGTCAAACCCGCCTCCGGGCCAAATAAGAAAGTATGCTACATAGTTTAGGCCATAATAGCAATTTCCGATACCACGGACCAAAGTAGAAAGTTTGTCTATAGTTCGGGCCAAACTAAGGTATTAACCCTTGACAATAAGCCAAACAAGAAATATGTTATGTGGGATGGATACCCCTTCCAGACCAAGGCAGCCCAAGAAACCTTGTTTTGTCTCTGCTTGATAGACTCCCACACCCTCTTGATTGAATACCTTGGCATCGTCAGATTGTTCCAATCAACCAACCCATCTCTCAAGCTAAAGAAATCAGGGATCTTATCTCTAGTTTTTAACAGTTTTCTCCAGTTCCAAGAGCATGCAATATTTATAGTTTTGTAGTCCCTATTTTTTAGCTTTTAGGCTTGCAACCAGGCAACCCTCAATGAACCTTGTTGCATCATAATTGTCCATATCTGCCTGTAAACCCAAGCAGTATTCCAATCCCCTAGATCCCCTTCTATTTGAGGAAAGACAATATGTTTCCAACCAATCTTTGCCTTGATCTTGACTCCCTCACCACAAAACATAGTAACTCACTATATAATTTCTCAACCTCTTTAATTATAGTCTTGGTTAGCACAAGTCCGCTCATCCTATGTTGAGTAACACTATAAAGCATAGTGCCAATAAGCTCAACTTCGCCGACATAAGTAAGGATTTTGGCCTTCCAACCTCTGTCGTAGCAATAATTCTATCAATTAAAGGCCTACAAGCAGCAACATATAATTTCCCATCAATCAAAGGGACACCCATATGTCGAATAAGGAATTTATCCAACTATTAGCGATACCTTTATGCTCTCGCTATAAAATTTATCAAGGACTCTTTGTACATTCTGCAAACTATAGTTTGATCTATGTGAAAATACCAATAGATCATCTATGAAGCAAAGATGAGTAAGTTCTATCTTTTTTGCACGTTGGATGGTATGGGAATTTCGCAACTTCTGCAGTTCTATCTAATAGACATGTAAAAGTTTTCATGGCAATAACAAACAATCAGGGAGTCAAAGGGTCTCCATGCCTAAGACCTTTTTCATATTGAAAATAATCAACAAATCCCCCCATTAAAGGCCACACTCAGCATTGGATGCTCAACACATGTTCTGATCCAGCTAATAAAACCATAAGGCAACCCCATTGCTCCCAACACCTTGAATATGAATTGTCAATTGACAGAGTCAAAGAGTTTCATAAGATCAATTTTGAGAGCAACTCTGCTAGACACATTCTTCCTAACATACTTATGCACTAATTCATGTGCTAACATGATGTTTTCCCCTATAGCTCTCCTTTTGACAAATGTTGTTTGTTTCTTACTTATAATATGAGGGAGTAAGACACTAAATCTCTTAAAACTATCTTGTATATGCATTTGTAAATAGTATTGCGCAAAAAATAGGTCAAAAGTTTTTCATTTCTTCCTGTTTTGGAAGTTTAGGTATCAAGACTAGGATAATTGAGTTTACCTTACGAGGGATCTTGTTCACACAGAAATAGTGTTGTACACTGTAGCAATGATCTCATCCCCGCAACTCCCCAGACAACTTGAAAGAAGTGGGCTTTATACTAGGGGTGGCTATACGGTCCGGTCCGGTTAAATTGGCCCAAATTGATCTGGTCCAGTCCGGTCTTTTTGAAAATATAGGGACCAAAGCTTGGATTGGGTACAGTCCGGTTTTGACCCGGTCCGGTCCCAATCCGGTTTTAACCTGTTTTGACTTAGCTAACCAGTTCGTGGAGCGGGAACGAGAGCGGGAACGAGAGCGTGAGAGCGCCTATAAGAATTTGTTATTAAAAGCGTAAAGACAGCGTCATTAATATATTATTTTTATATTTATAATATAATTAATAAAAAATAGTACATGACATAATCATTGAAAAATTTTACATAAAAATATGATAATGAAAAGAGGACAAGTATTTTTTTTATAAGAAATTAGTATTTCTTTTAGTTTTCTTATATTTTCTCTATTAACTTATTTTATATTCTTTTTCCCCCCTTAACTCTCACTGGGCAACACTCATTTTCCATTCTTCCCATCACAAAATAACTATTATCTCTTTCTTTCCGCAACCCAGAGCAAGAGCATTAGATCTCCAATTTTTCTACCGATCAAAAGGTACCCTCTCCGCCATGCAATCTAAGATCGGACTTCTCTCTTATATCTTGTAATAGATCAACAAGTTTAATTGGACTCCCCAAAAGTCGAGCAAACTGAATTGAATTGGAAAGTAGCGGAGTCCGACGTCTTCTTGCGGTCGCCCTCTGCTTGCGATAGCGGTGGTACGTCGCTGGCGGAAATGGTTGAATCATCATTGGGAATTTGAGGCTGAAACTCATTTAATTGGTTTGATTTGGTCCCCATGATAAGTTTACCAGGAGGTCCAGGACTACGAGCACATGTTTGATTTTGGCCTGCCCCTAGCTTTATTTTAATTATCCAGTCTTCTGGTTATAACACGGTTTTGACCCGGATTGGATTGGTCCGGGTTTTTTGCTATTTCTAAGACCAAAGACGGGATTGGATTGTTTTAAATCCGGTCTCGATCTTAAACGGTCCGGGTTATACGGTCCGGTTTCCGGTTTTTAATCCGGTCCCGGTCCAAATAGTCACCCCTACTTTATACTCATCTGGACTAGGACTTATATTTCCATCCTAGGATGGCAACAAAACCCGAATCCACGAGTACCCACCCGACCTAACCCGGTTAACGCGGGTAAAACTCGTGTTGACGGATTTTGGGCCGGGTTTGGGTTTTGGGTCGGGTTTGGGTTTAAACCCGCTACACTATTCACCGGGTCGGGTTGAGTTTGGGTTTAATTAAACCCGCCCCATGGGTACCCGCTCACACACATATAATTACTTTCCCGTTATATTTAATATTCTAAATAATATATCTTTCTTAAACAACTAATATTCTTTATGTTTGTGGAGACATGTATAATTTGTTCTTTCTAATTGTTTAGAATGAAGTTGATATTATGAAGTGGAGAGTGAAGAAACTTAGTTGACGAGGAAGAAACTTTCAATTAATCTTATTGTTTATAGATGTTTATCTTTAATTTTGAACAATTTGTATTAATCATTTGCGGTTTGCTTGTATGCTCTAGATTGGTGTTTTTTGTATGATTAATTTTGAAGAGAAAATTGATGTTAAACTTTTATTTTGAAAGAAACTTGTCATTGTAAATTTTTTACCACAAAAACCCACGGGTACCCATGAACCCGCGGATACCCAGCGGGCTGGGTTGGGTTTGAGTTTTTCAAACCCAACGGATTTTACCCCCGGTTTTTTTTGGCGGATAAAACCATGGGTTTGGGTTTGGATTTGACAAAACCCGCCCCAACCCGACCCATTGCCATCCCTGACCCATCCATACTGAATATGACATCCTTGACTTTCATACCTGAGACTGGATCATTAACTATTTGTTGTTTGATGCAAACATTTTTATCATAAGGGAATAAATTACATTTTTCATCTAGAGAATATAATAAAATTGTGTAAGTATTAATTTGAAAGTAACTTCTTGACCATTTAGTTTCTTTATAGTCTGTAGGCAAGTGGGATGTTGGATAATCGTATATATATAGATACTCCCTTTTTTTAGTGTTCTCATATCATGGCTTGAAGTTTCGCATCTATTATCCATAAATAAATAACGAATGGTCGATGGAGGGTGTTGAAGCATATAATAGAAAAGATATAATATGATACGATGACATGTTTGCACAAGCTTTAGATGATTTGTACAATAATCAATTATAATTGTATATGAGGATTATTATATTGTGGTTTGATTAGTGGAAGTGAAGCAGGCTGACACGATTTGATATTTATTTATTAGAAACAATATCCATCACAGTCACAAGTCACAACCAGCAGTAAATAATCTTTTATCATGGATAATCGTACAAAGCGATAAGTAGCTCGTCACAAAATGAGTGCTATTTCATCAACAACAATCTGATTCCTATATATAGGTGTTTAGGCTTCTTCATTGGCTAGGAGGTTGAGCCTCCTTATATAGGTGTTTAGGCTTCTTCAAGTGGGCTTGGGTATGAGGTGAGGTGTCTTCAATTAATGGGTTTAGATCATTGAAGGTATAACCATTTTTCATATTAGGCATATTAATATATAAATATCCTCACTTCATAAAAAAAAAACCAACAAGAAGTATGCCATGTGTGCAATAGAAACTTAAACTTCAAACAAAAAGACTTTCTTGGACTTGTGTGATCCTATATGGACTAATGTCCTAGATTCCAATGAGTTTTTTTGGTGATCATGAGAGGAAGATGAGCGATCGTTTTCTTCTTATTCAGTGAAAGAAGATAGGTAACTCATAATCGCCCCATTAATTGCATAACTAATTAATTAAGATTATTTTTGTTCACATTGAAAGATAATCAAACTCCTAATCTTGGGCTATTGATGGTCCAATCGTATAATATAACTAATTATTTGATTAGGAGTTTTATTTTTAACAAAATGAAAGAAACCTATCGTTTTGTCCCACCCGAGGGGAGGCAATCATCCGGTCTACACCAGATTGAATTGTGCCAAATTCATATTTAGTTCGAATTAAGTAAATTGGATTGAATATATTTCGATTCGGTTATTCCATAATTTTTTAAAAAATATGAACGAAAGACGGACCAAAATTTCTTTTTTCACGAACCGAATCGGAGACCAAATTAATGCTTTGAACATAAATCAGAATTATAATACCAATTTAGCTATACTTACGTCTTCCATATATATCTCTCTATAATCTAATAAGTACAATCACTCCACGTTAATCACAAGTTTGGTTATGAAGATTCGCTCCCTAATGTCAAACCACGTGTGTGCTTAAGTGTCAATAATACTGCCACATGTGCACATGAGTTGCCCTAAAAATGACACTCCACCATGACCAGCCAGCACCAAACCCTATAAAATTTCACCGTCATATATATATATATCGCCACCACTTTTATTCATCACAAATTTACCAACTTAATCCCACTTCCTTTCGCTTAATCCTCCCTCTTTTTCTCTGCCTAATTACCTCTCAGCTGGTTTTTCCCCACCATGGAAGAAATATTGGCCAACCACACTTTCAACGACGACAAGCTTTTCCTCGCCAACTTCATCGTCACCAATTACTTAGGCCCCGACGTCTTCTCGGAGATTCCGCGACGGTCCGTCGCTAATAGGCTTTCCCGACGGTTTCCTCCTTACACTTCCGCCCACTTGGGCGACTCCTCCCTCACCGTCTCCCAGCTGAAATCCCTGTACTATTACGCCCTCCGAAACGCCGACCCGACCTTGATTCTCAGCCCGGCCCAATTCCACGCCTACCTCAAAGGCGACGAAACAACTTACACCACCAATTTCACCACTTTTTTCCCTCTCCACCTCCACAAGCACAAGGCCTACTCCCCCTCCTCGACCCACGAGGTCGTGAAGGGCATCGTCGTCGTTATTGGTAATAACGACGGCGATGCCCCAGTAGATGATGAGCTGAACCGGTCGTATATCGACCGGTTCATACGTCTGTCCGGTTCGGCCGGTTTGAAGATGGATTCGAAATCGTGCTTGACGTATCCCCCGAGGGATGACGACGACCGTGATTATGATCCGCGTCCCGTGGTTTTGTTTCGAGATGGATTCAAGCGGCGGCGCGTGGTTATTAGCGACGGCGGCGATGATGATTACGATGAGAGGGATTTCCCGACGGCGGAGGAGCTGGCTGCTCGCGATGCGACGGTGGTCGTCAATGATAAAACGGTGACGTTTAAGCTGGTTGGGTTGTCGTCGGACTACGTCGTTATTGGGATCAGTAGAGCTGCTTACCTTTTCCGTGTTGCTCTCCCTCGTCTCCCGAATAATTTTCGTATGTGTACAAAATAATACAAATTATTCTTTTTTTTTTCTCTTTCTTTCTTTCTATTGTATATTTGTGCGGTGGGATTGATGGACAAATGGCGATACGTGCATGGATGCATGACAGGTGGATTGAGCTGCGAGGTTTGGTCGGACGGAAAGGTGGAGATAGCGCAGCAGCAGGAGCAACTTCCCGACGCCGGAGGTGGACTGCCGGCGCCATTCACGCTGTCGTTTTATCTGCCGGGGCCGGTGGACCCGAGGCTGTTTTCGCCTAATATCCGACGAGATGGAACTTTGGAAGCTGTGGTCGTTAAAAAACAACGTGGGTGGATCATTAGGAAGTCCAACAATGTTGGGCTCTAGCTAACTTGGGCCCGTTTTTCTCTCTACTTGTTGGGCCTACTCTATTGAACCGCAGCTAGTAGCTACTAGCAAAGTACTTATCGTCAACGTGTACAAATTGGCAAACCTTATAGTATATATATAAGTTTGTTAAGTTGCCGGTTATGTACATACTACATAGCTTGATCACATTTTGTATGGAATGCAGAGTGTAAATTATCATCCCATGCCCATCAAGACAATGCATGAAGCCATGAACAATGGATGAAAAATGGACAATCAAGATGCATCATAATTTGATAAAAATAACTCAGATTTTAGGCAAATAGATACATTGATATTATTAGTAGTCAAATCTGCGGGTCGATCCACTTTAATCCTGACCCAGTGATAAAAATGGGTCGTATGCACTCACCAGGTCGACCGATACCTTTCGTTCTCTTTTTAATCTTCTGAGGCTCCTGATGACAAAGAGGTTGCCAGCTCAGTCATCCATTTCTCATCCAGTGAACCAAGGGAGGAGAACTGCATGAAGAAGACAACAATAAATACCACATAGCAACGTCGCAAAGTGTTAACTCCCATGGCTTAACTATCGTGACAATTGAACATAAACTATGTGTAGCGACATTTCACAATCGTATAAATCCTTGTAATTCTCCAATTTGTCATTACTGAGGCCATAAAAAACATCCGCAACAAGTTCATCAAGAGTGATAATTGAGCACTAAATAACGTTATCCACTAACATAAACTTCCAACTCATTTGTTTCATAATCTACTTTCTATGTAGTTTTGTGTTCAGTTCAGAGTCCCTTGCAGACGTAGTAATGAAAGAACTGAAGTTGCCGCAGCAATACAAATTGACTCATTCAGCTGCATCTTTGCTACAGAATTGCTTCATGTATATGTATACCGTATCTGACTACCAAAAATTTGTGTCATCAGTTGGTTTGCCAGCCCCCCCTCCCTTGGAAGAGATAAGTAAGATGGGCAAGCTACTAGAACATCGGTTTTTTTATCTCCTGCGCTTCGAGTCTTTACGCATTTCAGCTACGTAGCTCTCGAAGTTCGACTTCTCCCACAGACGTCGTTGAACAAGATCTTCCTTCGTCGATTCATCTACAAAACAAGAAAACCATTTTTAAGATTTCGGAGCTTGCAAATGCATGCATGAAGTTTCAAAGCAGCAATATATTATAAGAGACTATGACCCAATGTGCTCATCAGGGGTGGGCAACGATTAATTCTGTAACAGACCGAGCTGAAGCACATCGATGTTTGGATCGGATTTAAGTTCATTCCATCCGGTTTCAATTTTCGAATCCAAAGACCTTTTTGTGTTACAATTACATTGAATCGCCTTAAAATAGAAACAAATAGATGGCTTGAATAAAACCAGACAGGCCTGAATGCAAATTCTACTGGTCCTGGTTCTCATCTTTCCAATATTTTCCGATAGTTCATCTATTTTTGGACCGAACAGGACAGTCCCACAAGCTCACTCTATGCAATCAGAGTTTTCAATCCTATGCAGCAGGTTAAGCTGGCAGGTGAGGTTCTAAGGGTGATCTTTGAAATTGTATAATAAATTATAAACTAAGAGATCTATCCCAAGGGCCTTAGCTCCCTGTTCGAATTCGACAGGAAAAGATCGTATAATGAATGTGGAGTATACTTACCGATGCTTTCCCATTGTTCAAGTGGCACTCTAAGTGACCTACGAGTTAGATAGGAGGCATCTTCCCAAGCATAGGGAGCTTTCTTCAACTTGTATCTCCATAACCAACAGCCATTCCACAACAACAACTGTGAACAAAGAAAAATGTCACTGGGCTTTCTCTCTTTGGCTAATCAAGATAGCCCCATGCTAAACATTCAGTCCCAGAAGAATCTGAAAGCACAAAACGGAACATCCGAATCATGAACAACATACCTTCCCAAGAGTGTAAGGTAGCAGAACAAATTGGACACCGAAAAGTTCCCAGATGCAGGGTTGATGAGCACCTTTTATGTCCAGCTGAAGTTCATTGCTGAGATCTTCCTCTACTTTTCTGCACAACACAGCTTCAAACTCGTTAAACCCATAATCAAAGTACAACCCAAACCAATAATTTGGAACACGAATCAGCTAAAAGACCACTAAATATACAGTCTGAAGCGACTGATTGAACAGATCAAATATTACAACACTCATACTTGTCCATTTGCCTGTTATTCTTCTTCTTAGATGAAAGCCCACCATTACGTTCAAGTTCCAAAGCTCGTAGCTTGTTCTTATAAGCGGGTGTCTTCTTCACCATCTCAACTGCCTGAAACAAATGAGGGGCATAGAAAACTACTCTTAGCACCATCTCCGCAACTTCACGCCTAGTAGATGATTTCCATCTCCATAACCACACCAGCTCGAATGGTAGTAGTTCATCCAACATTCAACAGTTTACCTGCTGGTACCTAGACATCTGATTCAGATACTGAAACCCTGAGAGCAGTAGAAGAAGCCCAACCAGGACTATGCGAGGATCCTGAAAAAAGTATAATTATCCACCATCAAAATCATGGATGCATCTCGGAAGAACACCGGATCATACTAGTTGGACAACAACAAGTTACATACCGTTTTGTGACCGTAATACGCTTGATAGTACCGAGCAGTGTTGTAGAATACCTAAACCAAATTCCAAAATCCAAATGCAGCAGCAAAGAACATTATGCAAAAAAATGTTTGCTTCCAATCATCCAATTAACGCTAACCCAACCCACAATTCTCACCTCCTCTGGATGTGCAATTGCATAATCATACTGCTCCCTTGTAGCTTCATCTTTCAGAATCTGCAGTCAAATTCATTCGAAATCCATCCCAAATAAGGAAAAGTATAAAAATTCGACAAATGACGAAGAATGTTCTTCATTGTTTCAGTACCTCATAGGCATTTGCGACTTTCACGAAGAGCTTCTTCGATTCCGGATCCGGGTTCTTATCCGGGTGACTGAGATATAGCAATGATCGAAACCAAACAATCAAAGCATTGAAATCGAGCTTGAAACGAAGCTAATTCCCCCCCAAAAAAGGGGAAAATTCCAGCTCAACTTACTGTTTGAGCGAGAGCTTGTAGTAAGCCTTCTTGATTTCCGATACGGTGGCGCTCTGAGTGACCCTGAAGACAAATTCATAATCAGATCGAGATGCAGAGGGGAACAAAGCAATGTCGATGAAGAGAGGGAAGAGGAGAGACGGCCGACCCGAGTAGATCGTAGCAATCGTCTTCATCGCAGTAGATGGCGGTGGCCGGCGAGATGAAGAGGAAAGACAGGACGATAACGGAAACAGCCGTGCGCCACCGTGAGGAAGCCGGCGGCGACATCGTCGTTGCCTTCCCCTCTGGCAGTTCTGTTTTGCTCTTTCAATGCCGGAGGGGATGTAGCATTTTCCGCCGGACAGATTTGATCAGTCAACGAATCTGGGAGATGATGATATATGAATGGGCTCTCAGCTGCCGAAAATTACAATTTACAAAAGACAGACTTCTCTGTCCAATTTGGACTTTTGTGGACAAGTCTGGGCCTTTGGGCCATTTCTCTGCCTGAACTCCTACGCGCCGGCCCATTCAATCCTTCAACCTCAACGCACAGACAGAACAGAAAACAAATTAAAATGTCAAAACGTTCGTGAGAAATAAAACCTGAAAAAAACTTGTTTAACTGAAATTTTTGGTGAGTTCTGAAACTGAATTCTGAAAAATGAAAGCAAGTTTAGCTGCTTTATATTATTTTCTATTACTTGATTACCACAATTTTGTTTATTGAGTATAATACAACTCTAGTCATTATTATAATTTTAAATACGAATCACATAGTTCATAAACCACTAATAAACACAATATATGTAACAAAGAAATGAACAAAGAAATAATGAAAGCAAGTTTAGCTGCTTCATATTGTATTTCTATAACTTTTTCATTTTTTCAACTCAACACTAACTAAAAGATAAATGAACAAATAAATATACATTAATAGGATTCGAACACAACCTACAAGACTTATATTTAAAGTTTTAACTAGTAAGACAAACTCTATTTGATGATAGTAATTGCAAAAAATAATTAGAAAAACTCATACAATAAAATTAAGATCACCATGTCATAAAACGTTTCTAAATATGTTACTTCTATTTGTTTTTTTTTTTTATCTTTTCACTTCATATGTAAAATGAATATTGAATCAAAATTTAGATGAATTTAAAGTGGATCTTATTATATAAACATAAGACTTCTGATTACAAGTAAATTACATCAATCCAAATCTTCAGCTAACCTAAATCATCAGCTCTAGAGACAACAAACCACTCTTTAGATGATAGGCTTCTCTTTATATAATATATAACTTGCATGCAGAAACAAATTCCAATGAGGTAGATCAGAGAGGAAGTGACAGTAGGTGGAAAATGCAGTTCTCCATTTTGTGGAGAAAGGTAGGTCACGCTTTTTATACGTTGGTTGATAGAGGTGTTGCAGGTGGTGAGTGCTATATAAAAAGAAGCAGAAGCCATGGCCAAACTCACACCACCTCGTTCTTAGGCAAATCTTCTCTTTTTCTCCTCTCTGTTTTGAGATGAGTGAATTCGGTGGTCGCTCAATTTCTTCCTTTCGATTTGCCCTTTCCATTCCTCTTCTTTGGCAATCTTCTCTCTTCTCCTAGCTCTCTGTTTTGGGGATCAGATTCAAATGCTCAGCAATCTCTTTCCTCCTTTTCGATCTCCTCAACTCAGAAAACTAGCCATGGCAACTATATTAAAACGGTTCATCAACGTGGAACAAAGACAATACAAGTGGATCCATCTTTCTAGGGTGCCAGTATAGCGCAGTAACGATCCAAGATTCCGAGGGGGAGGGGGAGTGGAAACCCCAACATTGTATGCGCTAAACGAAATATCGCACGTAGAAAACGAACTGCGCCAACGCCGGAGAACCTTAATAGCCCTTTTTTTGAGACACCGGCTCCCGGCGAACAGGAACCATATATGCCGTCCCGTATTCACCGATGCCTCCTCAAACGTAGTCCTCCTCGGCCACCAACATTCTGTTACCTGTTTGGAGATCCACTACTGCGTCGACCCCGATCTGATAGTTATTTTGTGTACCAGAAATACATGGGATTCATGTGGGGAAGGTTTTCTAATGTGTATATATGCCTAGTTAATAGTAGTTACAAGCAATGTAGGCAAAATCCCTATCTTAATATTAAAATCTTACGATTTTATGATCTTATTTATGAGTTTCGATCCTGATTTTATTATCAAATCTCTAAACTTTAAAATCCCATAATAGGGTACATACCTCTTGGTTATATTAATGCATAGTCAAATATGTTACTTTGATTTTGAGTGGGGTTTAATATAAGGGTCGAGATTCAAAGATTTTTTGTTTTTCCTATTTTTATAATCGATTAGTATATTCTTTGTTTTAACTCAAATTTGATTTTTTTTACTCAAATAGAATGAGTTGATTGTGATATACAAAATGATAAATATTTTTGATATATTTCGAGAGAAAATTTCATACCACTGGTTACCACCACAATACCACTCTTTATCACCTTCATTTTTAACTCAAAATTTGAAAAGTTTTACATAGAAGGATTGGATTGCATGAGTTGCTGTAATATACTTTATGGAACAAAAATTCAGGATCAGATATTTCACCAAATACCACCGTGGTATAGGTGGTAATTGGCGGTAGATAGTGATGAAATATGATTCTGCTGGATTGCCACATTGTCAGACAATCGGTCTTATTTGGCTTGCGCGCTTTTAACCAAACTTCCCGCGACATTGTTTTCCACTAAACAACGTCACTTCTCTATCCCCAATTGACTATGATCCACAACAATTATTATAACCAATCAGGTTAGACTTTCTTGAAATCACTTAAATGTCGAGACACATTTAATTTATACCAAAAATAATTTTTAGGTGTCAAACAAATAGCATATTTACATTGCGTTGATCATCATTAGCTAGCTATATATAGCGTTTACGGTAAACCTCGAAAGGCCTACCTTACGCCCTAATTTCCCAACATCTTCCTGAACTTGCTGTCTATACTCTTTGAAGCTAAACTTCCTGTAAATCGAAGGCTCGCATCTGCTCTCGATTTCGGTATCGTACGACGGACAGAAAAAGTACGCCGTCGAGAATCTCTCGACGTGCGGGTTCGTCACAACTCGGTGCTCCACACTTTTGTACACCCCGTTGCTCCACGCCTGGAACAAGTCGCCGATGTTGACGATGAGCGCTTGAGGATTGGGCTTGACGGCGAAACACTTGCCGTCTTTGACCAACTGGAGGCCCCCGACTTGGTCGTCTTGGTACAATATCGTGAGGAAGTCGCTGTCGGTGTGCGGCATCAGCCCGAAAACGGCCGCCGCCGGCGGCATCGGGCAAGGCGGGTACCTATTCATACGAAGGTAGCAAGTGCTTGGGGCGCAATTGTCTTGGAAGAATGTCGATTTCCTCCCCAAGTACTTCTCGGCCAGGATTCCGGCTAGCTTTTGCGCCAAGTCGGCCACCGTCGTAGCAAATTGCTCAATCGCCGAGCTACACGAAACAATTGAAGTAAGATTTTCAACCTCCAATAGATGATGAGAAAGAAGCAAAGTGGGCTAGCTAGCTTACTTAGCTCGAAAAAGCCGTAGCATGCATGCAGAAAGGGGGAATAAAGTGTACGTATCAATATAGTGTCTTGGCACAAATCTTATTATATTCGTTATTGGGCCTAGATGGGAGTATGGGACTAATAGTATCAAAAGTCTAAAAGAAAATGGCTACCCGATTATGATTCAATTTTTGCTTATCTTTTGTTATATGAAAAAAAAAAATGTCGAAACACCTAATTAAATGTATATAATTGGGTTGAAGATAGTTAATGAAATGATTCGGTTAAATTGATCCGAATTGAATCGGTTCTAGTCCGATTTTTTCGAGAATATAAGGACCAAATATTGGATGGGTTACAGTCTGGTCTGGTCTTGAACCGGTCCGATCCCAATTCGGTCTTAATTTTAAATTGAGTTTGTGGGGATTTTAGTGGCCTAAGGCCTGAAAGGGTGAGGAGGTTAAATTTTGGTTGTTAGCTAGGCCCTCTTATCCGGTTTTCGATCTGGTCTCAAACGATTTTTTACCTCAAATCTAGGCCCAAAAATTGGATTGACCGATTATTTGTTATCCATTCTCGGTCCGAGTTATACGGTCCAATTTTGGGTAAAACCAAAAAGTCCAGACCAAATATCCAGCTTAATACTATTCACTAACACGTCCACGACAAATATTTCAACTTCAAATCCTGGCAAACAGGGGCGGAGCTACCTTGTGCCTCGGGGGGCCTCGACCCCCCAGAATTTTGGAGATCGCGTGTAAAAATATCGGGAATTTTAAAAATTCTGAAGAAGTTAACTATTGTAGAATAACAATAACGTGCAATAATGAGTAACAATATCTCGGTCTAGTCTAAAGGAATGCAGTAGGTGCTTGGTATTTGTGAATACCCAATTCCTACTTTGGTTGAGTTTTTGTTTAAAATTTAGACTTTTGTACTTATTCAAATATTTTTTAATTTCAAAGTTCAAACAAGATAATGAAATTTTGGAGCTTATAATATTTTTCTAATTTAGATAATTAAATTTCGGAGTCTAGATAATTAAATTTTGAAGTTTATGACTCACTATATAAATATTAATTTTTTTTACTGATATTATACAATAAAGTCCGGCCCTCGACCACTTGATCCTAGCTCCGCCTCTGCTCGCAAAAGATGATTTCCCCTCATGCAAAGCAGAAAATAAAAGGAAACACAGTACTACTGAAACGTACCTGAGGCTATTGAATGAACCACCACCATTCACGTCGTCAAATGAACTGGACGAGACGACGTCGGTCATGGGGATATGGAAAGCCTCCGACCAAGCCAGCTGATTCAGGCAAGTCGCCGTCGGAGTGCCCCAACGGTAAGTCCCCGCCGAGAACTTGTCGTCTTCTTCCTTCTTCCGGTCGAACGGCTGCTTGAACGCCTTCACCTGCTCCCTTCTCATTCTGTCCAAGATCTCTGGAGAGACGCCATGGTTCACCACCTGGAAGAACCCCCATTCCTCCGAGGCTCTCGCCATCTCGGTCTTGCACTTCTCCCTCTCCTCCGCCGAACCTCCGGCCAATATCAGCGGCCGGAGATCGATGAGTGGGAGCTCGCATTCGTCGACGATCTCTGATGCGGCGGCGGCGGCGGCGGCAGGAAGAGCAGGTTGGTTCTTCTTCTTGTGCATGAGGAGGTCCTTGTATGCCTGGCGGAGAGGAGGGTCTATCTCCATGCTCGCACCCTAAGAGGAAAAAGAGGTAGAAGATAAAGCGCGTTGTATCGGATACCGAATATAGTAGAGTATTAACTTTAGAAGCGTTATATATGTGAAAGGGCGGGATGACCGTACACCTCTCGATAAGAAATACTTTTCACATTGCCTATGTTTGTCCCGGCTCTATGAAACTGGGATCGAGCAACAGAGATCCATTAGAGTGATGTTCACATCGCCTATATTTGATCCGATTTTTAGCAGAGTTTATTTTTGCCAAACAAAAGCAGAGTTTATTGATGTGATGCCCACTTTTAAATTATCTTATTTTTTATTTTTATTTGTTTATGTTGGTGAGTTTCAGGCAACTTGCAATGCTTTGAAATTGAAACTCACCAACATAAACAGGTAAAAATAAAAATAAAAAAGGTTCATAAAATTAAATTTGTGTTAAATTGAAAAATAAATTCATAAAGCATTGCAAGTTGCACGAGACAACACATCTTTCAGCAACGTAAATGTTCTTACAAAAGAATCAGTTTAATTATATAAGGAAGATGACAATTAACGAAATAATTCATTCATTCATTCATTAACACGCTTCAATTCATCAACGAGAAAAGACCCTTCATCATACAATATACTATATATGTTTCATATTTTAATGCTTTATTTCGACCAACGAAAACAAAATACTTAGCATAAATCTTATAATTTTTTTTTCCTCGCGAATTTGCTTAAAATAAGTTAAAATCACGTAAACAACAATAACAAAAACTTTAATCATACGACGTAATACAAAGTCGAATAGACGAATAAAAGGAGGCCATACCGTTGACGGAAAATAGTATAATATTATTCCAAACCAAACTATTGTGATGAAAAATGACAATGGCAGGTTTACAGAGACGCGTCAAACGACTAACCACTCACCCAACTACAAGAGTACATTCCCCAGTCGATTGATTATTTGTTACTTAATTCTCTACTTCAATTCATCTGTGGATTCGAAGCAATTCGAACAGATCTTACGTTGGATATTTTTTTTTTCCTGCGGCGGAGGCTCACATTAGATGTGTGTGTTGTCAGGTGATCCATACACGTGGTGAAATGTACATACTGATCAGAAATGTATAAGAGAGAGAGAGAGAGACTGGAGAGCACGAAGAGAGAGCATATGCAAAAAGATATCTAGCTAGTTGTCTCCTTTCTTTTCTACTTACCTGCTGGTGGTTCATATTGCTCCTCGAATCCACCTTCTCAGCCATGGAATTCCAACGTTGTGTGAGACTGGAATATTGATAGGCTGTAGCTGGCTAGCTAATTCATGGACAGGGGAGAACAAATTTCACTGATTTTGAGGAGAGTACAAGTTACAAACCCAAATTCCGGAACGGACAAACCAAACAAACTAACCCGACTGACCTTACTACAGACTAGGGTGATGAAGAGTATTTATAGAACTCTTCTCCTAATCCCAAACAGAAAACCAAATACATTTTCCCAAACATAGAAGAAAAAAAGGCCAAACCCGAACCCAAACAGAATAGACCCAAAACACAAAACAAACCCAAATCAAATTCAAGTCATATTCTAACACATAAAGTCGCTTTTGCATGGCAATGGAACGGGAGTTATATATACTTATTATAAGCTCTTTCGTTTTTTTAGGGCTAGCCAATGATACATTTTCAATTCGTTTAACAAACCACATCAGCGTTTAACAAATATACACCGATATGTTATTATGTTATATTATGTCCTGCTCAATTCGGTGCACTCGTCTTCCATATTCACCGATCACGTCTCTCGCTTTTACAACATACTGCGAGTAGTAGACAGAAACAAGTAATGAATTTGGACAAAATGACTATATAAACGGGAACAGAGCTTATAGTACAATAATACTGAAGATAAACAAAACGAAGCAGACTTTTGCAATTACCTCAAGACGTTCAACTTTCTGCCGATAATTAGATCAGCAAGAGGTTGGCCGTGAAAAAGGACGACAGAGCTTTTTGCTATGGGGGAAAGGGGGAAAAAGCTAAGGCGGATCAGGGAGGAAGGAGGTGACGGTTGAAGAGAGAAAGAAGCACGAGCCAGAAAATATTGGAGGAAGGAGAGATATATTTATAGGGAAAAAGGAGGCCCAAAAATGCTACCGAATCGCTTATCGGTACGATAGGAAGAACCGGATTGCTTATCGGTTAGTTCTAAAACGAAAAAAGCAGAAATATCAGAATTTCAGGGAAAATATCATACTTTTTTTGTTCGGTTTTGAAACTTATTTTCATTCAAGTTTATCGAACCGAATACCACCTCTCCTATTGTCTTATTTTCAGGGGCGGAGCTACACAGGGCCTGAGGGGGGCCCCGGCCCCCCCGAGAATTTCAAAAATCGCGAAAGAATGTACGAGTATTCTGAAAATTACGAAATAAATACAGGTTTTATAATAATGGCCACGGGTTAAAAGGTATCTTAAGAAGCTGATTACCCTAGTGGAGTTGTTGTGGTTCTGTATCCAACAGGTCAAGGGTTCAATCCCCACTTATGTTATTTTTTTGGATAAGTTTAACAAGAATGTCAATCTAATTATTTAACAATTTATAGCTTTAATGGAAAATTTTAAATTTCCCCCGATAAGTTTAAGTGTTTAACAAGAATGTCAATATAATTATTTGAAAAAAACATCTCGTACATTTTGATAATTCACACAATTAATTTATTTATATAGTTATATAATTATTTTGATTTTTGTCTAGTTACGATAGTATACGAAACATTTCCGGCCCCCCCAATCCCGAAATCCTAGCTCCGCCCCTGCTTATTTTGATATTACATTAAAAATCTCCATTAATAACTTAATCAGAATTTTAAACGTTAGAGAGCACTATCAATAAAATTCTCTAAACTGAAATTATAAACAAACATAAACATGGACTGATTGTTAACACCCAATTTATTAGCATAATGCTAATACTAAGTACAGTCAATATGAACATTTTATTTTTATGCTTTCTTTTCAAGAGGGTTGACACAATTCATACAAATTTATAAAAGGAGAGATACACTTGTCGTTATTAAAAATTGGGGCCACATGCATGGGGTGTTGTGCATTAAATTTGTGTCTTGATCCTCACTGCAATTATCATGATGCATGTCACGAAGCACAACTCATAAACACAATAAATCACACCACACATACCATAAATGATAAAATGAACTAGAAAGCTTATAATGCATGCTAGAACCACATCACACAAAAAAATTCATAAAGCATACCATAAAAAATTAGACCACAAGTTCCCTGAAACATACCAGAATCTTATAAAGTAAACCACAAGTTCTCTAAAGTATGCCATAAACCTCATAAAATAAATCCCAAGTTCTCTAAAGCAGGCCAGAAACCTCATAAAATAAACCACAAATACTTTGAAGTTGTTCACAAGTTTGTTAAAAAAGATCACAAATTTCCTAAAGCAAATCAGAAACCTCATAAAACACACCACAAGTTCTCGGGGTCGGTTAGCTTGCTAACCCCATAAGGGGTTCGAGAAATGACACCCCCTTGGTATTAAATGCAACTTATATAATTTAACACTCATATTAAATACACATACGGAATTAAATATACCATATTACTTATTTTTTTTAATTTAAACCTACACTAAATACAATTATCTCCCCCTATCTCTCATTCTTCCTTTTCCAGCAGCCTCCAACCGACCACCAAGCTTCCTCTGACTGCCACACCTCTTCGGTGAAATCCCGTCGGCAGGCTTCTTCCGACCACCTGCAAAAATGTACCACTACATAAAAAATGTACCAGTGCAGTGATACGTTGTACCACTGCACTGATATTTGTACCACTGCATTTAAATTTGAATATGATATTTGTACCAGTGCACTGATATCGCTACGAGTGAGTGTATCTCTACCAGTGTATTGGTACGCTACCAATGCACTCGTACAAAATATCCTATATAAGTTTAAGTGCAGTGGTAAAAATATCAATGCAGTGGTACAAAAATCATAATTGGGAATCGAAAAGTTATATCTGAAAATTGATACTTGCACAGAGAGGAGATGAGGAGAGGAAACAACGGCAGTAGGATGAGAGGGATGAGGGAAGAGGGATTACTTGCTTTTTTTTGGAGAGAGAATTGCATTTAGTGTAGGTTTAAATTTGAAAAAAGCAAGTAATTAATATGAGGTATTTAATTCTCAATGTATGTTTTGTGTGAGTGTTAAATTTTACAACTTTCATTAATACTTACCAAATGATGAGGAAAAATGGACCAATGAGGAAGACCACAAGTTTCTTAAAACAGATCTTAAACCTTATAAACTAGACCACAAATTTGTTAAAACTTACCACAAGTTTCTTAAAACTGACAAGAAACCTCATAAAACATACCGCAAGTTTCTTAAACCATACCACAAACCTCATAAACTTGTATGGTTTCTTGAATTTTAAATTTTTTTGGCATCTAAATGTAAAAAAAAAAGAATTTGGTACTAAAATGTAATTTTTCATCAATATTTTTATTACTTATATGCAAAAAAATTAATTTTAGTTACTACATCTTAAAATCTATTAAATTTATGTACCGAACTATAATTTGCATATGAAATCCAAAGGTCGGGAAAGGGAGCTGCTATGAGGGATAGTTACTATATATCCTTAATTAATTAGATTAGTATGGTGTTAGCACTAAGAAGTGCTAGCACCCTATCCTGACCCGACCCATAAACATGGTAGTATAGTTTTTACAAATCAAATAAACAAAATCTTTTTTATTTTAAAAAATGACATTTATTATTCGATTTGTAAAATCAGTGAATGTGAAAGCATTCATGAAGTTATCCCAAAAAAGTTAATGGTAAGATATTCTGTACTGATACCATGATCCAACCGTTTCGTACTATTAAACCTGCCTATCGTTTAAGATTCGATATACGGTATTTTCAGTTGTACGATAGGATTTATAACACATTGCTTTTATTAACAATTCCTAAT